TTATGGAATATTTCCTCTAAATGTCCTTCATAATATTTCTAGTAATTCCAATACCATCTATACCTACAAGTACCTTATATACCTTGAAAAAACATACCTAGAGATTGCATGCTCAGAGTACCTAACCACAATAAAGTGACGTAAAAGTACATCATTTTATTATTGCGCTAAAGTACTGCGCATATGACTGAAGTAATATAGATACTATGACTTTACCGAGATAGATACCGTCTTACTATTGAAGTCCTGTGTCCTATTCAGGTCCAGAAAACTTAATAACTTAGTAAGAACAATTGAGATAGAATTTGTATAATGTCGTCTGGTACATCTATTGCAGCAGCGAAGCAGTTTACTTTGCAAGCTGTATTTCAGGTAAGATATGTCAGTAACATTATATAGCACGGAGGCAAAACATAAAATCTTAGTTGTCTGGAATGGCAATGGATGAGGCATGGGCGTTATGTGATGGTGTGAAGTTCATGTTTCAGTTCATATATAAAATATAAACAACGGTAGCTACTTACCACCTTACCACCAGATCGATACGAGAAACTTAAACTGATAATAAATACAGATTTACACGAGAAAGTGATATTCCTTGACCATAGTTGAGTCAACGCATATTTTTTTATATAAACTATACTATAGGAATGTCCGAAATCTGGTGTAGAGTGTGTCTGGTCCATAAACGATGACGTAGAAAATGATATCCAAACCCGTGTTTAAACACATTGAATTTAACTATATTTACTGATAGTACTGAGCGCAATGGGACCATGTCAAGTGTTGTATTCACCACGACGCGACTATACATCTGGGACAACTGTCGTGAATGTATATTATATATATTATAATACCAAATTTGAAGATTTTGTTTTTCTAGTTTAGTTTTTTAGATAAGGAGGCATTTAAAACCCAAATTGCAAAATAAGTAAGAACATCCGCAAATTAAAATGACAACACAGCAGTGAACAATAATGAGAAAATAGTTAGAAAAAAAACAAACAGTAACAGAAACGGTATCCACAAACTTTAGTAACTTTAATTTCACACTAAGCAGAATATAGTCAGTCGCTAGAATACGTTTTTTTAAATGGATTCTAATAATTGTTTATTATTTAAATTGGCAAAATTTGGTGTTACGCGACGATATGCTTTTTATTTTAAAAAATATCGTTTCTCCTTCCCTGCGATAATATCTCTCTTCTATCTGTTTTCAAGCCAAACAGTGGGTATCTCACTGTTTGGCTGTTTCCCTGTACTGTTTCAGCTGTTTACCTATACTAAAAAGTTTAGGTAACGACTGAAAAACCAAATAGAAATATATAATAAAATTCACATATTTTAATACAATATCACTATTTCTGCTATTTTTAGTATGGAATTTAAGCATTGCATTTTATTTAGGACCTCTATTTTATTCCAAAATATATAGTGAAAGTAGACAGGCTATAAAACATATACGCATCATTTATTGTGAAAGGTGAAGATTTAAACGACCATGTTAGATTATCCACACTTTCCACGGTACAGTTTTATTTGTTTTTTTACGGATTTGGTTGAATGCATAAAGTTTAAAGTATATTTTTAATAAGTAACTGATATAAAATAATGACAGAGCTTGAATAATAAAATTAATTGTATTTAGAATATATGTACTACATATAGTACATTATACTCTATATCTAGTACATATATTCTAAATGCAGTTAATTTTATTATTCAGGCTCAGTTCATTCAGTGTTTGTTGAATATATTTGAACAAACACTGATATTTTTAGATAGTAACTATTCCGAAAACTTTTATAAATCATGTTATTAAAAAAGTATGGTTAAAACCTTCAAAGTCTAACCGCGCCGTAACTGCCAATTAATTATTGGCTGCTGAAAAGTGCAGTGATGCGTAGCCGTTATACGGTGTAACGCAACATCAGTGCATACGTTCTTGAGCAATTATTTACTTTATTCTAACATAAAACAACATCTGTGGTTTATTAGTTGGAGAGGCTAAAATAAGCAATGATCCAAAGTTTGACAGTCCTATACTCATAATCATGAACCATGAACGGGTATCATACTAAATATTTAGAAGGCAATGCGCTATTGACAAAGAGCACATCCGGTACACACTGCAGGTAACAAGAAACAACACTCTCAATTTTTTTCTCGTATCCCTCAGACCTGGTTTCCTGTTTTAAAATAACTGGTAAAGTAAACAACTAAGTTAAATACTCAAAAACTGGAATGACAACATATTTTTAGTAGATACATAATGAGAACGGGAAAATTAATTAATTACACTATTGACGATGTTAAACGAAGGAATTTATTTACGACATTATTTCTGCTATGTCCACTAATTTACAGATTGATGAATACTTAACGTTGTACGGTTGAATCCGAATATACTAAAAGCTCATGCGTCAAGCAACCGTGACTTATAAAATCACATTTTCTAATGAACTTATACAGTCGCCTGACACCGACTTGTCTACTTTCTTTGATCTTTGCATAATACATTCAGCGATTCAGTCGTTTGCTACAAACCGAGTCTGTAAAAAGAAAGCCAATCTTATTCTCCGGTAATTTGTCACACACTGTGGTGATTTTACTTAAGTACAGTTAAAATCACGATTACGTAGTAATAACATGGTACGTTGATTTACGTCTACACCATATTCATGTTCGGTAATATTGGCATGAGTTTAGACACTTTCACGGTCGATTTCTCTTGAGCTTTCCACTGACATCCCATAGGCGTGATCTATCTGTTAGCTGTAATAGTTATTCAATTTGAAGTTGCATTGTTATCTCTGAATTTCATAGTTATTTCACTGATCGTTTCGAGTCTATTTGGATAGGTCTAGTTTTATTTACGTACCTGAATGATGGCTGGTATATAGGTAGGTACGTACATGAAGTGAAATAATAAAAAATATTTGAACATTAAATAGAAATAGCAGACATAAATTAATCGTTTGACTAGATGGTTAGGAAATCATTTGCCACATCTTCGCACGCTTGAAATATGGTAATTGTCTAAACGTAGTGAATTCGAGAACAGAGCGTAGGTACCCAAAATCAGTACTTTAATACTACTTATTTTACTTGTGATGACAGTATGTCATATTATATCAATGTAATTGTTACACCCTTTAATGTACCATGTGTATATTATCAATTTAATGTATTGTTAGTTTATTGTCTATGGTACAATTAAAATAAATAAAAAAAAAGAATGCCTGTATAAAATTTCACACTACAACAGTTCAGAAATATCGGCTGTGCAAAGAGTTCGACTTTTACGAATTCTATCACATATATTGTGTAACTTTTGTATAAATTTCTCTATTATATAGCTACTTTACTCTAAGTGAACACAGCCTCAACATAGAGGCGATATAATAACGAGCCGGTAGTAGTAATATTATTTCATATTGTTTCACTTCTACAACAACGGCACCAAACAACGTGGTAGAAGTAGACACAATGCAGCTAAGTGCTGATAAAAGTCAATGCCAGAGGGTTCCTCACACACAAGTTGATAAAAGATTCTTTGACAGGTAAAGTTTTTTGTCAACAGGTCTTCATGTGCTCTAACAAAAAAAGGTTGGGAATTATAGAAACCAGATCCTTTGAAGTGAGAACGTAAATACGACGTAAACTAATATAAAGCACGCAAAAGGCAACCAGCCAATTTGCTGAAATAAAATTACTGCCTTTCCAAATTTTTTATTATAGTTGGGACAGAGTTTTTAATATTTGACGAACGTTTCTGTATAGAAGATGTTAATAGTCGTTTTCATAAATATGAGAAAAGATGACCAAATGATCTTTTGAAGAGGAAGTTAATAAAGAATAATTAGCTTTTGCCCGATCAGGTTACAGGGGGATTAGTCTATTTTGTATTGCCATTACATTATTTAAATAATCTAAAAGTATCTATGTGGCCGCTAATAATTGATTAATATATTTTCTTGACATAGTTTCAGAAAGTGCCAGTTGCTTATAATAATCGAGAAAGTATTGGCACTTGACAGAACTTTAGCTAGGAGCATAATCCCTATTAAATAGAAAAACAATAAATACTAAAACTATCAGCTATTTTTAAAGTACCCTACAAGGATTCCTACTAGGTAACGAACTAAATAACCATTTTGTATTTCTAAAGAAAGTGCCTGTCCCTCTTCAACTGTTCTTCGTTATCCTAAACCAAAATTCCACATATAATATTGAACCCAGAAAGATATTTTGGGCCCACAGATAATGTTATCGGTCGTTAGTTTTTTCTTTATCTCAACAAGTGGGTGAGCAGGAGCACGGCATGGTACAGTTAACCATACATTTGTTCGTGGTATTGATACGTGCATATTTATGCGTAACGTGTCTGCTCTAACGGTGCTGTAGCAAGGACTCAAAAGAATACGTGTTACAATGACTTACAGACTTAATTCTTTGAATTCAAGTTAGGTAAATAGCATCTTTATATTGTATTTACATCATACTGATGGAGGTCAGGAGGTTTACAGAAACAATTATATTGTTCCTTACAATTGTGATATATAAAATAAAGAGCAGGATGTAATCTCAAGAAACATTTATTTACTTTATTATAGAACGCACTTTTCAATCATATCATAACTAGGTAAAGTTACTACTTAGCAGATCGTAGGGTAGTTTAGTTTCATTCCTTTTTATTCTCTTGATGTTTAGCATATTACAAATTAGTATTGATAAAAACCTGACGACTTTGTCTTCATTAAACAGGCATATGGTGTGGTGAGGTAGATGGACAATAGACAAGCAAGTATCCCTCGATAACATTGCATCAGATTTTCCTGTCGTAATTATTACTTAAATAATACAAATGGCATCTCTCATTATTTAAATTACATTTCAAACTAAGTATTATAAATTATTATTATATGAATTAAGAACTACAATTAGGTAATTACAGTTTTCTTATATTGCTAGGTATTATAAACAAATTAAAAACTTACCTGTATATTAGTACGTTTTACATCTATGTAAAGCCAGTTATCTGTAGAAAATGCTATAGCCATTAAAGCTGCGGCCACGATTGCTGTAATGGTCGCTATAGACAATGTTACCGCTGAGCAAGGCATGTTTAAAAACTTCTAAATACAGTAAGGTAAAAGTAACAAGGAGAATAACACAATCACAACACTCTAGAATAGAATTGTTCACCTATGAAGCATTTTCGTAAACACACTACGGAACGGAAAACTCGACAGCACACTCACAATATAATAAAAACTCATATGAATGCGGTTATCGCCTGCAGCGTACCGAGTTCGCGCGCGAGACTTCTTCGCCTAATTCAACTTGCCTTGCCTAGCCAGCCGCTCTCTTGCGGATGTGAAACTTTCGAAAGCGAGACTACTCCTCCAAGTGGCGGGAATGCAAATTAAAAAAACTGGTTTTAGTGATGCCAGGCTTAAAAATGTTGGTGTTATTAAAATAACCAGTGACAAAATGCAAATCCAACGATCCTCTAATTAATAAACTCTGTCGACCTTTCATAGTATTATTTTTAACAGACTTTAATTTATTTAATTTATGTTTGAACTTACATTAAAGTACAAGTATAAAAGCCAAATAATGTTTAGATATTGCCAAACTGTGCGAATGTAACAGAGTATGTTATAGCCAAGTCTCATGTCAAAATTATATTCTGTTATATTCAGGCTGAATGAAAAATAAACTTTACTGCTTTAGAATAATATTGTAATTAATTATGATAAGTTTACATGTGTAGAAACAGTTTAATAACTAATAAATAAAAACCGATATTTTAGTTTCAAGACATATTTATTAATATTTTTGGCTGTATTATTCAGAAATCAGAATAACTACTGACAAGTATTATTTTGCTCCATCTATGATCATACGTAGAGTAGTTAGCAGTATACAGATCATTATTTTTTATTTATTTACTCTATTGGTTAATCTGTAGTTGTAAATTTGAAAGGATTTTGTATATTTCCTTTCTGATTTATGTTTATTGTCTTATATTAAAAAAAATTGTATTTGTAGCATATAATCAAACAGAAATGTCTCAAAATTTCGATAAATATGATGATGCACTATCGTCGATCTTAGTGAAGGAAGAGTCTATACTAGGATTTTTATCTGCTATATTCAATTTTTTAGCAAGACGGTAAGTTATTTGTTCCTTATGTTAATACAGCAAATCCTATTAGTATTGTATCTGATATTCTGTTCTATATCATTCAAGAACGGACTTCTATTTAGTTCCTGACGGACCTTATGAAAACATAGGCTTTCCACCTGGAGTTGCAGAGGAGCTTGTACTAAAAGTTCTTAGAAAATGTGACCCAAAGAATTACAAGCCTAATGGTCGTAAGCCTGATTTGAATTCTGAATTAAACAACGAAATTATGTGCTCGACAGTAGCTCAAGAGGTGGAAGTTATTGCAGATGATGATGAAAAACTAGGTGATAATGCAGTGTGTAGCACAGAAGCACAAGGAAGTGACTCTACATCAATAGGAGCTTATAGCTCTGAAAACCCAACAAATCCTGATGAATACATTCCACCTAAATTATATACACAAAATAACAGTGACACTTACAATGGAGCTGACAGAGGAGTATATTGTTGGTCACAGACAATTATGGAGCTGGGTATGTTAATCATTGTATTTGAATATCATTAATTTTAATATTAAGTATGTAACATATAACATAGAGTTGAGAGTTTAATTTTAGACACCAAAATACTTTGTGTCATTTTATAGTACTCACTTCAAATATAAAAAAGTTTTAAACATATTCTATCCTACCCAATTTAATTTGTTTCCTATAGAAAATATAGAAAATAACAATATTTTTGTTTATTTATATAATATTAAGTATGTGTAATAATTGAAGAACAATTTAATTTCTAGATGTGATAGTAAAATTGCCGCCGGATGTAAAAACTTCTAAAGATATCAAAGTAACAATCAATGCTGGAGATATCTGTGCTGCGAGTCGCAGTGGTGACATAATAATTAAAGACACCCTGCCATATAAAATTAAAGCAATTGACAGCTTTTGGAGCATAAGTGAAAGAAAACTACATATACATTTAGGTAAATATCCTGAACTATGTAGAAGGAATATATAATTTCAACTACATAATCTCAAAAATTCCATAATCTGTAATTAAAAAATCTTAGACAGAGAGATAATAGAGAGAGTAAATTATATAAATAAGTATACATTGTAATATGTAGTAAGTAGCCCATACTTATTTCCCTGGCTAGATGCCCTTATCATTTTATCGTTTTTTGTGTGTTAACTTTTCTGAAAATATCCAATTATTAACAAATCTTTAAAATTCTCATCATTAAACTACCTTCTATGGAGTATTATAATGTGTATATATATTGACTAATGGAGATTTGAATTTATTTAAATCTCCATCTAATAAACTTTAAATAACAATACAGATTCTTATTATTATATTATAATGAATGTTGTGAAAATTAATAATGTTTAGTAATATTATAAATAATAAAGTTTGTTTATATGTTTGTAACATATTGTCCACCTAATACTACTGACCATGAAATGTTGCATACATATAGTATTGGAGATGGCGAAGAAACAGCTGAAGTTTCAACTGATAACACTCTAGTATAGTGTTTATAGTATCAATAAATATATTCAACTTCATATATACAGTTTAATTGAGTTGTATCATTATTTGTTTCTAGAAAAAGTGCAGGAACGCTGGTGGGACAAATTATTAAATGATGAAGAACCAATTGATCTTTCAAGAATAGACTGTTCAAGGCCTCTAAATGAACTGCCTGAAGACCATGTAGATAAGGTAATGGTTCATGCTTCCCTCATATTAGTACCTAATATTATGATATAGTGCCTTGGCGAATTTAGGTGAGGGGAGGATTGTTAGTGTTGGAAACAAGTAGTCAAATTACTACTAATATCAGATGTATCTCCTTGCGGTCACCTCTGTAAATTATTTTATTATATTATTAATCACTACATCAATGTATGTAGCCCAATGATTTCTATTTAATATTGTTAATTGATACCTACTAAAACCAAAATACCTACATATTTTTAAATACATCATGATCAAAACAAGTGCACAATAAACTTTATAGTATAAAAAAGTTAATATTAATTATTTCTAACCATACACATATGTTAAATGAAGACCAAATTTTTTTCTACAATTTAGGTGAGAGAGTTACAGTGGAATCAAGAACAAAAACGAAAAGGTCTGCCAACTAGTGAAGAAATACGTAACATGGAATTACTTAAGAAAGCCTGGAATGCCCCTGGATCACCTTTCAGTGGTAAGGAATTTGATCCGAAAATACTCAATCAGTCCTTGCTTAATTCTTTTCCCGAACAATAAAATGAAACTATATTATTTTTATTTCGTGTTTTATTTATTTTCATATTTATGAAACAAAGATAAATGCCTAAATAATAGTTAACAGTAATTAATATAAGAAAATGATATTTTTCTCATAATTCATTATAGGTACCAATATATTTTTCTTTCTTAAAAACCAGATAAAACTAGTTTTCCAATTAAATGTTGTTCTTCCAAAAGTCTGTGAGCTTCCTTCAGATTTTCAGCATTAATTGGTTTCATAACTTTTGTGAGAGTACATTTCAGGTCCCCCTTTTCAAGCATCTGTGAAACTGTTTGTAAAATTTCTTGGTGCCGAAAGATATCTTCTGTTTCATATTTAATTCTTGTACCCATTTGTTCAGAAACCAGAGTAATGCTTTTTTCTTTAAGTGGCCTTAAATCAACTAAACCACTACTGTCAACTATCAAACAGATCCTTCCTTGCGGCTTTATGGCTGTCATCAATGTGTCCCAGTATGGATAAGGGTCATAGTTGACTAGAATATAATCAACTCCATTGCCGTATCCAATATCTTTCAACTGGGGCAACAAATCCTGAGTATGGTTGAGTACTATGTCAGCTCCATTATCAATTGAGAACGCTTTGGTCTCCGAGCGAGATGCGGTGCCAATAACTTTGAGCCCTAAATGTTTTGCCAGTTGCGAGGCTACGGAGCCAACACCGCCAGCACTATTTATAATCAAGATAGATTTGCCCTTGTCTTTTTCCGTTAATAATAACCGGTCATACAAAGACTCATAAGCAGTTACACTTGTTAATGGCATAGCTGCTGCTTGCTCGAATGTCAGATTTGTCGGTTTCAGTGCCACATGAACTTCATCCAGAGCAATGTATTCTGCATTAGAACCATTTCGGGCTAGGTTTCCTGTAAAAAATACTTCCTGGCCTATGTTGTGTATTCTGGCATTTACTCCTTTTGCTACTACAACGCCAGCTCCGTCCCATCCCAAAATCCTTGGAGATATTTCTACTTTAGGCTTTGGCGCACGCTGTTTCGTGTCAATAGGATTAACAGCAATAGCTTTTACTTTGACTAAAACATCTCGCTTCCGTAGCTCTGGCAAGCTAATTTCTAAATTGAGAAGACTATTCGTATCAGAAATCGGCAAATATTTGTAAAGACCGACGGCCTTCATAGTAGCTGGTAATTTTTGCGACATCTTTTCTGCTATGTCTTGAGACGCACTTATCTGGGCGACACACGTTACTATCACTACAAAAGAAATAAACATAACTCTTTTATATATTAATAGACGCTGTTTATCTAATTTTGTTATCACCCGCGATAAACCGGACGAATATTACAATCACGCTGACTATGACTCGTGTCGATCATTTGACTGTTAGTAAGTGAATGATTAATGTCTTTATCAAATTCAGTGGCAGTTTATATGATTTTTCTGATTTGTTTACTCAATTTCATATTACCTACCAACTACTTTAATGAATGGACGGTCTTAATTAGTAAAGAACTGATAACGGAACTACGTTTTCCTACGTTCCTGTTATATTTTGGCTTATTTTTAGTATTTGATTAAAGTGCACTCATCGTTACATATGATACACTGATATCATATATTACTATGATTTAGCCTGTGGGGCCCAAAACCTGGTAAATTACTGAATTTATCAGGTTCTGGACCCCACAGGCTAAACAGCTATTTTGTCTTTACTCCATGCTAGACAAATATTAAGATGCGTAGTCAGTTCTATTTTTAGAACAAAATATATTCGTGCCTATTTGTTAAAGTTCAAAAAAGTTTAGCCCGTCAAGCTCTCACCTCTGCGGTAGTTGTAATAAAACTTTTATTATTATATATTAACATTACTTATATTACCACACAACGATGATGAAAAAAGTTCCTTTTTTCACCTGAATTTGCCCTAAATTTCTAAATCTAGACCACGAACTCAATCCTGTAGCTCTATAGTATTGTTAAAAATATAGGTACTATTGGTACTACGTACATAGTACCTACGAATAATCAAAATATTACAATGATTTCACTCATTGTAATATTTTGATTGCATTTGCAATTTTATCATTGCAGCTTCCAAAAAAAAGGGATAAACAATTGTTAATGTAATTTTTATAATTCTATACAGGGAATTTAAGATATCTATTATTTTCACCACGTCCGTCTGTGTGTTGATTAGATAAGTATATTATTATATTAGTAGGTACCTATTTAATTATTACGAAGTTACACGCACCTATTAATACGCGCTAATCACAATGTGCAATCATAGAAAAATATAATGTATATTTTGCTATAACGAACAAAAGGATATAAAAATAAAACTTATAGAACATATAAATGAATTATAATTAATATAGCCGGTAACATACAATGACATACAGAAATTCTGAACTGCCAATGCCAAACGTCAATTTTTTTTAGGTTATATTAGTGTTGGGAGTAATTTGACGATCACCTATAATAGTGATGTGCTAAATCGAATTATTTAAAATCTATTTTACTAAATATATCTATAATTTACATTTATTTATTTACTTAATCCATTTAAAATTTTGATGTATTGTGCAAATGGACTATCAGCACAGAGTTGACGTTGAGGAAAATAAACTCCTACCAATTTCAAAAATTATTTGTTTGAAACGTTCATTATTTCAGAGTGTATATATTATTATTATTATATATATATTATTAGATAATAGATTATAAAGGAATATATTACCTGTATTAATATATACAAAATGAAATTAGGGTGAAGAGATGAATCACTTGAACCCTAAGATATGGCAACCTTGACCTATATCAGTGAATGTTTATTGATTTTGGGTTATATAAGTAGCATATTTAGGCAAATGATACCTACAGAGTGAGTGACAACTTGATGGGAAGAATCGGTTTGTCTAGACTCTAGAGAAACTATTATTTTAATCCCTACTGATCACATAAATGCATGAAAATGTGTCTCCATATCTGTCTGCTTTTGCCTTCTCATTACTAAATGGCGGAACGGATCTTAATGAAATTTTACATATTATAGACTGCACGTAGATTATCTTTCATGCCAAAAAGCAAACAATTTGCTTTGCAGCTATTATAATTTTGCAGCTAGTGTAGGTAATATTTGTATTAAAATATGAAAACAGATGAATGCTTGCACATTTATTTCTAACTATATAGTTATAATTTCCATTCCATTAGTAACTTTTACACAATATATTACAAGCAGATCAATAATATATCACAGTATGCGTAACAATTCACAAATGCGAAATAAATTGTCGTATTCACATAATAAAGTCAAATAAAAATCGGTAGGTATACCTATCTCATAGAAATGATGCACTGATTGTATAGCTAGCAATATTATTATTATATATACAATATACATATATAGTTTAACCTTGTACTCATTCTGAAGTCTGTTGTAGAAATTGTATAATTTATTTATATGAGAATTTTTAGATTTAGCCGTGTTGTAGCACAATATAAATACACAAAAACTATGCAACACTATACAACAATATATTAAAATAATAATGCAGGTATTGATATATCAGTTATTCATTTGTAAAGTATATTTAGGTACCTAGGTACATACGCAAATGTCGCCACGTTTAAAAAATATATTGTTACAAAATAAATCTTATCTACCTACAAATAAAGGTGTTTCTACATATAGCGCCGGTATACTACATCTATGCAATACAATACCCTTTTGCACATATTAGGTACGTATAATATAACAATAGTAAATAAATACGTTACACCTATAGCATATACACGGAAAAAATAGCGGGTCTTGGGTATTGATTGTATATTAAATCTCGTGAAAAACTACATTCATATATTTAAAAATCTTAACCGATTGCCCCAAATTGATGGGGGGTGGGATTAAATATTATTAATTGTTTAGATATCGGTTCAGGTAATACTTTTAAAAATCTAAGTAGGTATATTTTAATAATATATTCGTTTATTTCTCTAACTAAAACAGATATTAATGTTATTTAAAATTAATTTAAAATAATATATACCTCCATACCCGCTCGTTTTTTCCATTCTGTTTGTAAAGTATACTTTGCATATGTATAACTATAATTATAACAACAGCCAATACTTGTAAATAATCAACACTAATGATTAAACGACGTGCCGGAGCATAGAATATTTTGTATTGTCAATAAGAGATTGTACTTATAAATTCAATATTTAATGAGAACCCGTTTCTTAATCTCGTATTCAAAATGTGAAGGTTGATGAACACATGAACCGTTTCATTCAATCGTTCAAAATAACTAATACATAAGTCCACATGCCCTACGTACATGATATTTTTTTAATGTTCCTTTTTACTCGATTGACTAATGATTTTATAGTTTTTACTATTTCGAAAACTATGCCCATTGCCTCTACATAAATTAAACATTAGTATCTACCTTCTGAAATCCTTGTTTAAAAATCGCTTTCAATAATTACATACAGCTATATAAAACAAAGCGTATCTACATTTTATTCGATAAAACAACGAAATATACACAACGTAAGTTTAAATATTTCATTGTTTCACAAAATATACCTACTATGATTGCTCTCATCCCCATACATAATCCTTCAAGCCTTTTCCATTACACATTTAGGGTTGTCACAACATGTTAATACCCAATATGATATGATTAATTTACTGTCTAGAGAAATATTTGTATATTGTATTTATCTATATATAAACAGATACAACTGGTACGTTTATATATCTACGTAAACCACGCATTAAAATTGTTATCAATATATTAGGTGTAATTTTAGAATAATAATAACAATCAACACAACAATACAAGCGAATCTAGTTTTTATATAAAATATATACTAATTATACATAATTTAATAGAAAATATATCTTTCTTTCACTTATTCTAAGTCTATTTTCTCTATGAGATCTCATTATTATCAATTTTCTTGTAAACGTTCGTGAATACACTTATTTCTCCCATCATTTAAAGTTAATAACTTCTTATTCACATGTGGAAACTAACATAGAGAAAGTAAGCAAATTAAGTGAAAGAAAGCTTCTCTAATATGTACAAAAATTACACCGTTCATTTTTAATTATTAATCCGTAGATTTATAATATTTATTAAAAGTACAACGATTTATCCATTTCATTTTTAAACTTAGAACGTTAATACGCGTTCTTATGAATACAGAACATATTCATGTTAACATTTTGATATGTTCTTGCGATTTGATAGAGGTCGTATTAAACATTCATTATTAAATTAACGAAACGTTAACAATTTATGTTGACAATTATAACATGACAAATAATTCATTGGACACAGAGTATACTCGGCAATAATTCGTCCCGAAAACTTAGTGTTAATTCTTTGGTTTTTAATACTGTTAATTTGTACTTATAATTTCCCAACTACATTATTCCCAAAAGATATATCCTAAATGTATATCTCGCTCTGCCACTATATTCTTGCGCTGGTTCTAATGTATTTATTTATTTATATAACTTCTATGCACAAAGTACCAAGATAAAAGTACATATAACGGACTGTGGTGAATATTCAAGAAATTAGATGTCGTTTTAATAATATTGTATAGCTTTAATAAACAAAACTCTTCATCTATAAAGTGACGTATCATAACATAACATACAAGGGAATTGAGACCTTATTCCTATGGAGTAGGCTAATAATTAATAATGCCCCAATAAACGAGAATAATAACAGTTGATAGGATTATACTGTTTTTTTTTTAAAAGTATAATTCGGGAATGCATATCTAAATTTGTATACATAGTATCATTACACTAATTCCAAGCACACTTGTCTATATAAAAAATAACATTTTAAACGCTCATCATCTTCGACACAGCAATAATTTCATTGGCCGAAAGGTGTGGTGTATCGGCGCTACCGTGGCAGATTGCCATCTTCAGTGCCGTGCTCACACAGACAATATGATTGTATTAGTTTTTAAATATTATATTATATGTATGTTAGTCTATAAGGTATTTATAATATGGGCCTAGTTGCCTGAAATAAATGAATAAATAAATAAATAAATAAATAATTCCAAACTTCAAGCCATTATAATTGAATGATGCCTAATTGGATGTTTTATTATTATTAATTTTTCCATATGTAATTTGTAGCACAAATACTACAATAATCAGTTGTTTATACACTCATTCTAGAACTGCCTTACTTTTGCCTTACTGAACAGCATATTCGCAGACGTCGTGGGCTCCGGTGCATTCTACACTCGGCCTATGTGTAGAATCCCATATTCCAGGTCCGCAACGTTGGCACATGCCAACTAGTGTGCAAGGGATCCTCACCAACTGTCTGAACTGGTGTAAAAGGCCACGAGCCTTACGAAGAATCAGGCGTCCGTCCATGTACATGGCTGCAAGGAATAAGATTTTCGTAATTCATATATCTTACTAATATCATAAACGCAGAAGTTTGTATCTATGAACGGATGGATGTTTCGTACGCTTTCACGCAAAAACTACTGAATGTATTTTAATTAAACTTTACAATAATATAGCTTATATATCAGAATAACACATAGACTATAATTTTCAATTTTGTGACGGATGAAAAATATGACGTGCAGTCATATTTTTCATCCGTCCATTTCTGTTGAGAAGGATTGGAAAGAAACTCAACTATATAAAATTATAATCACATATGAGGTAGTCAGAAGTATTGAAATCTGTCGACATCAATTTGCCAGAAAAAAAATACAAATGTGTCATAATATATTTTCTTTGTAAAAAAGCTTATTATAAAATTGAAGAATTTATAAATGATAATAACGTTTTTGTAGAAAATATCTAACTTAAAATTCATAGCGCTGACAATGTTATCTGATTGAACAGAGACTAAGTGCGTAGCGGTTTCTATGTTGATTGTCGCATGCCTAATCCTTGTTGTTAATTAAATATAAGTAATCCAATATTTATTTAAAAGAGCAACACATAAGTTTTTACTTATTCTTCTTATGATGTATCTGCATTCCGAATAAACGGTAGAATCAAAAAACTTGACTATTCAAAAGTGCTCATATTAAGTTTATTTGAATAAAGATTATTTCTCTTTCTATTGTGGTGATTGCAAGACTTAACATTGATTGTTAGTAATGTGAACTAGCTACTGATACCAATTTACGTCATACCTACAAACCATAGTGGTGAATTTCTAGTGAATAAACCACGATGCGTTAACTAACCTGGCTTATTGGCATACATAGTAGTCCTTCGGAATGGCAACCTATGAAAGAATACGATGATGTGATATTAGAGATGCTGTCCAGATATGTAAGCGACGGTTACCAGATACCGGGGATAATACCTTGAGCTTGATTACTATTCGAATTACATAAAAAATCCTAATAAATAGTAAAAATTATGGAATCTAACAAAATATCTAATTAGTCTGCTGTAAACTAAAAATTGTTGCCTACTTTTGTGGTTTTCTACTATTTCCCGGTATTTACTCCGGTCTTTTTGCTCCAAAGCGAGGGCAGTAGGATATTATGCGTTGTAGAGTCTGTGGTGTTTGTTGGTCACAAGGACGGGACATAAAGAATGTGTAAATAAATAGTAGCAAGCCTGGAAATCAATATCCCCGGATATTGATTTCTTTATGACAATAATAAAAAAAACAACATACCTAAAGAACTGAAATGAAGCAACATTTCGTCAGTATTAAGATCCTGTGCTATAACATCATCAGCATACACGGCAATTATAGCGAGGCAAAGGAACAAATGAAAGTAATCCGTTTGATAATTTGCCCAGCACGCCTCCCACATACGTAGAGCGACCGCTTCTGTGAACTCGCGCTTGAAACATCTGCAAAAAAGAATCATCATAATTATATATTAGCAATGTGAACAACTCCATCTCTAGCAATGTACCAAGTCAGATTGAACTGCACGCGGTTCCCACTAGAAACCACCATGGTAAATTCCTTGTGAATTTGTCACCACCAACCCATGTATTTTTTACTATAGGATAAGTGTTTTTAAGCAAAAGAGAAGATAATTAGCGTACTATTACACTGGATAGAATTTTATATCGAGTCTTCATCGTCTTGATTAAAGGAAATATGATTTATGATTTCTTTACCAATAAACTCTTATAATAGTTTTCATATTTTGTAGTCTAAACTAAAACACACTACAAATTTAAAAAAAATGTTCATTCGGACAATGTCTTTAAAGTTTTGGGACTGAAATACTATCGTAATTCCAAAAATAATGTGAGAACTTCTTAGAAGACATCCATAGCTTCTTCATCTTTTATTAGTATAATCATGCATCAAGTTTAGTAGTTTAGCTGATTATAGATATTATAAAATTATGATTAATTCAATGTAGGTATATTAATGTACACTTTTTATTAAAATAATTGATAGTTCAAAACTTACAGCAGTATCCAACGATGGCAGAATAATAATTCCATTGCATCCACATGTTTCTCAAGATGTTTATGGAAATGTGGTAACATCAGCCTAATCAGCTCTCTTAGATAACTCTGGAAGTAAACAGACAAAAGTTTTTTTTTAATCCGGTATATATTAAATTCTCTAATTCAAAAATAAACGCACTAAGATATTTAAATAAATATTTCAATAAATAAAAAACCTAAATAAACGAAAATATTTATTTGACACAAATTATTCTTCGTTTAATTAGATATATTTCTTTATTTCCAATATTTTTTTAAAATAAAGTACATTTAAATAAAATATGTATTCTTCTTTTAAGGCTATTTACAGCTACCATTTAACACGTGTATTATGTACCTACATATGTATTTCCATCAGATGTTTAGTACCCATTGTAAAAGATCTGCTTAGTTTGGAGCTAGATGGAAGTGTGTGTTCTGAGTTTATTATTATTACCTATTTCACAAAAGTATTTAAATCCATTTTACCAATTAGCATTTAAAACTGAGCTGTTTTTATATGAAAGAATTTGGTTAATAGATACTTTTAAACTTTGTATATACGAGTATGTAAATAGCTATAAATTCATATGTAAATAAATAAAGAAATGTAAATTCTTACAACGACAAGGTCGCTCGCTACTGTTAAATTAACATATTATCTACCACAATAACCACAGAAATACATATCTAGTCTCTGCTACGTAATACTACTCATAATACTATGTCTCAAAAGAGCTTCTAGGAAACACGCAATACCTTTTATGTAAAATATAATCAAATGATGCCCGACAAAAATTACGTAGAAGCTACTCGCATATAACAATAATTTAATAAGCCGTAAATGTATACCTAGGTATTTAAAAACAAACCAAATTACACATTAAAGATTAACCTTTTTTGGAATTACAAATTCTGAGAATCAAATAAAGAAACAATATTGACAATTTGACAGCCTCGGTGGTCTAACGTTGCATTTCTATACCTGAGTGTGATTGATTGTATCGGTCTGGGTGTTTTTTTATATACCTACATATGTGGCGAATACGGATAGCGTCACGATGATACGATACGATACAAAATACATCAATATTAGCGGTTCCAACGTAGCCGCTAAACATATATTATGTATGTATTTACAAAAAAATCTAAGTATTTATATCAGTTGTCTAGTACCCAAAACACTAGTCTATGTGGTTACAACAGCAAAATTTAAAAATATTTAAATACCTATAATTAAGATAAATAATAAATACTTTCCGTATTATCCTAAAGGATATGCAAACCAACATTCATATCTACATACATATAGAGAGACACTGTAGAGTATTTCCTTATAGGGTCGAAACCGAAAATAATTCTATGCCGAAATATTCTAAAAATAAAGCTTGCAGTTGCATACAAGTTAGTCATAACAATATTATCGTATCTGTAGTCATAAGGATATAAATGTAAAATTACTTCAAACGAACTACATAACGTTTAATATTCTTAATAATAATTTAAAATATAACAAAGAAACATGTATATTTTAATTATGTCCTTACTAGGGCAAACATGATGATAAGTACAAACCGTCGCCTATATAAACAGCACCATAGACATCATGACATCATATCACACCTGTGCCAACACTAATGCGTTACCAATCTGGACTCCGTAGAATCTCTCTACCTTATTCAATGCCTCACTCTTTAGCCAAGTAATATCCCTTTATTATCCCAGGTCCCCACCATAATACTACCCACCTTAATTTTGAATGTTGATTTTTTTTTAATTTTGAGGGCTATTGGCCTAAAGGGATGGTGTATCGGCGCTATCGTATATCATATGTATGGTAGTGTATAAGGTATTTTATAATATAGACTATTAGTTCTACTAATATAATATTATATTAGTATAATATTATAGATACCTAAATTACAGTACTTTTTATATATACCTAATTGTAAGTCACTTACGAGATTATTATCCATATCGTTGTCTGTCGGTGTACACACAAATATAGCCCTCTGCATTAGTCCCACAAAGCACCAGAAAGCCTCCGCCTCGCACTTAATCTCACATAAAACGGGCGCTAGAAGATCGCTCATTCCCTGGGTGTACCTATAAATGCAATAAAGTAGATTTTAGTAGATTTTGATACTCTGTCGTATTTTTTTTCATAAGAAGTATCTTCTCAACTAAGTACATAGTTCAAATTATCATTAAACAGCATGAAGTATAGTCATTTTTTATTGTTTACTAGCTGACCGCAGGAACTTCGTCTGCGTCACATATTCGTTGTAGTGTGATAGCCTTACTGGATAAATGGGTCACATAACACTAAAATAGCAGTTTCCGAGATTCGTGCGTTTTTCAAAGGAAACAAACAATAATATTCAGTATTTTATTATACATAGACAGATAGTTTTAGATATAGATTACATATAGAATTATAGATAGAGTAATAATCAGCCGTATTTACTGAACTGTTTATAACTATATATACTATTATTATAAACTGAAATTCATAATAGGCGGCGTTCTCTAAAAATTCTGACTGTATTTTTGTGTGTACATACACTACACTATATGACTAGATATTTTTGCATTTTCTAAATCAATTTCGTTGTAGAAAATATATTTATTAACAGAGAGAATAAGTGTTGAGACAGATAAACAATAATTAATTATTAAGTAATATTTATACTTCATACATCGTTCATACTTGCCGATATCAGCAACTTTAACTGCTTAGAATTAGTTCATTTAACTAGGTACTTCGAAACGTTTGTTTTTGATTTTTATGGTGACTTTCCATTGTTTTCCTATAGAAACTTTCAACTCCTTCCAGAATCTATTTTGAAACGAAAGATAGATATACAATATATCATGATACAATTCATCTTTAAAATTTGCATTTGGATATTTTCAGCTGTTTAGTTGTATAAAGATAAAAGACAGCAGGCGCATTTATCCCACGTCTGAAAAAAAAGTGTTTTATATAAAAGCTTGTACTTACCCTAATACCGGATTATAAACAGCATAATTCAGCAGAATATTTTTCATTACTACTATGTTATAATTATTATCGCCCGCGAAAAACGGGTTGCCTCTGTCGGTTCTGACTACGTCTTTCTCTATCACACACTGCACTGTCTTCCAGAAAACTGCATGCTGTTCGGGCGTCATCTTCTCCAATCTTCTCCGCGTGATCTCATCATACTCCCTCGTTCTTATCTGTAAGATTATTTCCCTTTCGTCGTAAGTAGAGTTGTATGGATAGCAGTGTAAGAGAAACGGCCAAACTTCTCTTCTCAACTCCTTATCCAAGCCACCGAAAAATACACACTTCCTCAAAAAGAGATCGTCTTCTATGACACCTTTACTGTTCATGATCCTTCCATAGAATAACTCAGGTGTAATTTTAGGAGGCTTCCCTTCTTCGGGGTGCTGCTCTGATTTTTGCACTTCTGGTCGGCAGACCATAAAATGACGATATGGTAAATTAGGTTCTTCGGAACCTGAAAAACATATGAAAACTAAAATTATTTCTGGACTTTCGCGTTTAGAAAACATCTATACTAATTTTATAAAGAGGTAAAATTTGGGAGCTTGTAGAGACTAATTTCTGGATCTGGATTTGAAAATTCTTTTACCATTAGAATACTTCGTTACTTGACTTGTTGGAAATGGGAACCGCCCAACAAAGTGAGCACGGGTGAGTTAATTTATACCAATAATATAGGGAGGTAAAGTTTGTGTATATATAATATCATGCAACGAACAATAGGAATGGAGATATAATAAAATGTAACAAAAACATGAGAAATGTGACGCGGACGAAGTTGCGCGGGTCAGCTCGTTACTAATGTAGTTAATCGGGTCTTAACACGAATAATTTTATATACCTATGTTCTACCTATTATCTTATTTGTAGTTCTACTATACCATATTGTTGTACATACAATAAAAGCGTACATGTCTACAATTTTAATGTACAAAAGAGTTTACGTAAATAGAGATTGATATTTGGAGTACAAAAAAATATTCTATAAAATATCACATTATAAATAAATATGTTATTAACACCTATAATTCAATATTAACCAAACATTTCCACCCATCATCTTATATCTCAAATACATTATAATTATATATACCTACATTTTAATTATATTAGTCTTAAACTAGTCTCGTATCTAAATCTCATATTTATTACCTGGTGTCAGTTTAATATTGTGCAGTAACGAGTGCCACCTATGCAACACCTGTGCAAGGTGATCTAGACCACCGTGGTGAAAATGCAAAATCTTGTACTGAGATTCTCGGGACGCCACCACCAGTTGTCCACACGTGCAGCTGTCGTCGTTGAAGAAGAGACGCAGGGAGCGCATCTGACTTAGATCCACTGAAAATCTAAAATAAAGGATCTTTTTAGTTCGTGATAATGTATATGTATGCGAATGTACACCCGCCTTCGCCAACGGTATACGCTGGAAAGGCACCAGTGGATGACGATGAATGAGCTTGGAATCACATTTGTTGGATATCTAAACATAGCAAGTTCCCTAGGCAAAATACAGGTAATACTGTCAATTAATTAACATTATATTCTTCTAGAAAGAGAGCAAATTTCCGGCATTTATGTGTATAATTTACTAAGTGAACCGCGACTTTGTATGCACAAATTTTATTAATTATTCCACACCCCAGATATTTTTTTGTGACAAGTCTTATATTTATTATATTAGGCCGTCCTCGTGACACAAATGTAGAGACGGACCGGCACACTTTAGCATTTTATTAAGTACGGACAATGGATGTTATTAAAATAAAGACATTACTCATAAAATAGATATGTATCCTCCAGACTGTAATCCGATATGGATCAGAAACATTATCAACTGTCGACGTTGTGACGAACGCAATACTTTAGTTGTCCACATTTCGCTGAGAAATTTGAATACAATTTATACAATAGGTAACGGACTTTTTGTGTTTTCTAGAATTCATTTTTAGTCCTTTATTCCTTTTATGTTCTACAAAAACTTAAATTGGCAAAGAATTCGAGGACTATAAGGGGTAATAACAACAGACCAGGATTCTTCTCTAAATAAACTGTATAAACCGCGATATAGGCAAGATTAAACTGTGGAAGTTACAATAATGTCTGTACTTGAGTTTAATATAATTCATCCCCGTCTAATAGATGTGTGATCCCTTCATAATTACAGGGCGAAGCGACAGCAATAATCGCATGCCGATGGAAGCGTGGGAGGAATGTAACCCCCCAGATTATGTCTCCGTGCCGAGGGAGACGAGATATAGACATATACTACCTATATTACCTAAGTACTCTATAAACCTATAATTTAAAACTGCATATCGGCTTGACCCACATAAATAGCATACTTTCGTGCCACTACAAACCGACCGGGCTGATCGAAAACCCAATTCTGCTGAGTGTGTAGACGTGTAAGTCAGAAGTTAAATTATATTATATAATTATATATATATACTTTTAATATCTAAGTATACCTACTCAATATGAACCTTTATATTAAACCTGCATGTAGACCTATGTAATCCAACGAATCGGCTTTCGTTCCAATAGAGATTTGGTTCTACAAACTCGACCCAACAGTCGACTACCAAATATTGTGTTGTTTTTCGTACGTAGACGTTTATACTCTATTTTATGGCCACCCGCTAAGACTAAATGGAACTACAACCTTAGGTCATTATTATTATGTGTTCCGTTTGTAACTTTTTTTCTTGTATTGATAAGTTCACAACTACAGCATTTTCAGCCAAGTTCAAAAAGAAGAACATTTTATTTTATAAAATATTTTTTGGAGATATGTTTCTTATATCAGATTATACAGATTTTTAATATAGAATCTATCCCGAGTGACCTTCTTTACATAAATTTATTGATATATATAAAATAATACCTAGTGGCTTAAAACATTTTTTTCTTAAAATAAATTAATTTTCTAAAATAAAAGTAGCCTAATTTACTTCTTTCTTTTTACAACATTAGTTATCTGCGAGTAAGACAAACAGACAGAAAAATACAAAACAGACAAAAAAATATATCTAAAATTACTTTTTTTTAAATACATTTAGTGAAAAGCTGTTAATAAACTTCAACGTTATGTAGGTACCTATTTGAATGAGGAAATTATTAGACTAAATATACGGGTATAATATATATTTTTAAAGTAAATTGCATGATTTTTTTTAAACTTTAGCTTAAAAGCATTTGTAATCGATACACGCGACGTAGTTTAGTATTTTATTGGTGACTTTTGAGACAGTGTGTTCTCAAAAGTTCTAAAATTACGTAATAACACAATATTAAATGTACTATACTACGCCTAAATGGCATGTATGCAATACCAATTAATTACCTGCGGCATTTTATAGGAATCCTTCGCTGCGGCACTGGTGAACTATGCACGCTGTCAGGAAACACTAAGTTATGTTTTAGAGCCAAAAATTCCGGGGTACTCATCCAATTAGGATTGCCCTCGTCACATGAACTCATCGAAAGGGATCTAATGAACCTGTCCCCAGAAATTGAGTCTGGCGTTAGGTCAACATTTTCTATATTTGGATTTGCAATTGTTATGTTCACAGATGTCATCGATTGCGACCGCACATGCCTGTCGTATAAAAATACATCGTCCTTCGTCTCATCCTTTTCGAAGCTATTAAATACATCTTTCGTAGACTCAATAGACCTCACTGTTGGTTTGGAGCTGGATGATAATTCGTCCTGCGTATTATCATTTTGCGTATATCTAGTATCAGACGATTTAATACTTTGCTTATCAGAATTGGAATTTAGACTAGTCGTTTCCGAGGAATCTGAAAATGCATTTTCATTGTTCGGGTCTACTTTGGGCGTCCGATTCGCATTAAGTGACTTTGATATTTCTTTGGTATTATTAGTTTTGTTTGTACCGCATCCTAGTTCATCGCTTGGACTAGTTTCGACGGCTGAAGGGCATCTTCGTAACGTAGAGTTCGGTATCCAGTTAAGGAACAGCGTAGGTCGTTTAGAATTGTTGTGCTGATCGGTGAACACTTTTGTGGTCACTGTCAAGTATCCCGGATGATGAACAATATCCAATTCGTGGCGTGCTATGGTCGGCGGATGAACACATACGTTGTTCTTGCAAAACAAAATTTCGTTGTCTACGTAATCGGGTGGTTCCTCGTTCTCGTCGAACTCCAGGCCGAGGAAGTAGCTCGAAGCTCGTTTTAGAAGATCGGGCAGCGGCATTTTGGACTGGTAATTTGTTCACATTTCATATAATACCGCGAGTATAACATTTACTACAGGCGTATCGTGTCGCAAACGACGAGCTCAATGAAGCGCGGTACGTGCACTGAGCGCATGTAAACACCCACACAGTTATGTTGATAAGCGGTAGGTATTGATCCGCGTGGAGTGCCGGTCACGGCGCGGCGTGCGACGTCACTATCACAGATGTACTACACCCGTTGGTCCTAAACATTTCCTGCCTATTTCAACATTATTAATTCATTTACATCATTATCAATTACATAAATATGTTTTTTGAGACCAGTAAACTACTATTGCTCGAATCAAAGTCAATATATACCGTCAAAATCGTTAGTAAATACCAGTTATATACCTATATATAGATACCGTGTAAAAATGTAATAAAGAGGTCCTTTATTAACTATTTAACTTATTTTATTAATCTATTTTTATACTGCTACGGAACTGACGAACAAGCTAACAACATATGGGCAGTTCCACTTAACCGTTCCCTAAAATATAGTATAAAGTACCTACGTTAGGTATATCATTACCTAGAGACATGAAACAAAATTAAGTACGCTCATCACAGTATTGGTGTTATCCATGGCACCTTCCTATACCGCCTTGTAAGAAGTACTACAGTCATGCCAGATTAATGGAGTTTCCCAAAATTTGTAAGGATTTTGTGACAATGGCGGAAATAAATCTGAGTGAAAACATAGAAGAACTACTAAATAACAAATCATTTTTAAGAAGTCGTAATAAAAGCTCGAAAACAAAGAACTGCTAATATAGAATCCTCTATGGGCGGATTATTCTCAAACCCTGAATATTAGGGGAAATGACAGAAAGTCATCCTGAGAGAAATCTATAACTTTCACATACCACTCTTCGAACTATATTACGTCATTGCTTCTCAGAGATTATGCTGGTTTCTTTAAGGTTCTCTACAGAATTTAATTACGTTAACAAGTTTTCTTCATAAAGAAACAGGAATGGTCAATTTGTTTTGTTTCATAAACATGTTAAAAATATTCACACTTCAAACCGAGAAGTAACAATGCACGAACTGCTGTTTTTAACCTAGAAAAAATATCTATTGAATTGATAGTCATCAAGTCAGGTATTAAACATTTTTATGACATCTACGGATGTCATTTTATCAGTGCTACTTTTTTTATGATTATGAAAAATATATCTAACGAGAGTTTGAAACAGCTTTGTTTAAGTACCAGGAATAAATACAAAAACAATTAGAAAAATCTATGCATTTTTAAATTACCTACCTTACTGTATATTTCTAAACACATCTTGTCATTTCATCATAAATTGATTATAAATGGTACAACTCATAGTAGATGAGTACCTAGATGAGTCCAAACTCTAATAGGATTTGTAATTAATAAATGAGGATAGAATAAAGTTAACTGTTGTAGAAGTTGAGATAATGTTTATACCTGAGTAGGTATGGGTTTATGGGTAGGTGAAACAAAATGATAAGGTAATGATAAATTTATTAGCATGGAAATAGACCGGACACGAAAAGAAAATATGACATATACAAAAGGGATAATTTGACAGCCTCGGTAGTCTAGTGGTTTAGCACACCGCTTTACAATCCGATGGTCGTGGGTTCGATTCCTGGCACGGTACAAACATTTGTATTCATGAGTATGATTGTTTGTATCGGTCTGGGTGTTTTCTATGTATGATATGTATTTATTAAAACAAAATGTATCCATGTATTTATATCAGTTTTCTAGTACCCATAACACAAGCTCTGCTTAGCTTGGGACTAGATGACGCTGGGTCAATTGTCCTGAGACATTATTATTATTATTATATTAATATAAGAGCACAAATACAAAAAATATTTACTCTTATGAATATATATCTGGCCTAGACTAAAAAAATATCTTCAGTCCAAAAGTCCGTATCAAACCACCAACCAACCGCTTGGGGCGAGGCATCGCTTTGTGTGTTCTACCGAATATACAACAGACTCTATTCTGAAGAATTGTTCGATACGATGCCTACGGTTACCTTTTGCCATTGCACTGCTCACCGTCGACAGGGAATTCATCACTACTCGCTGGAACCTAAGCTGTCTAGGAAAGCGTGCTGGTTTAGAGCAGCTTCCTCCAGCGTACACTTAGATTGTGGAAAGTACTACTTGCCAAGGTTTTTGCGAGTGACTACAGCGTGGTTTCAAGAAGGGTGTATTATAGTTTCTTAAGTGTCAAAACGAGCACTTGACACTCCTGGTGTTTGAGTTGTCCATAGGCTACGGTATTCGTATTACACCTGATGAGCCGTATCCAGGTTTGCCATCATCGTAATGACAAATAAAAAATCTCATGTAATTCAGAACTAATTATTAGATTACTAATTGATTACCTTACGAAACTGCTGTTTGCGTTCACGATGTTAAGAACTGGGTAAATATTTGTTTCGTGCTCGCGAAACCCTATGTTGCAAATAAAAATAACAAAATATTTTTTGTCAGCTATATGGCTATTATTGTCTGTCGAAAATACCTATACTATGACGTCATAAAATAGAAGCACCGTATGAACAATATAGTATTATTATAATTATATAGATAATACGTCTTATTTAAATTGCGCAATATAAAATAATACAATCAAAATATTTGCTCAGCAATGATTCTGTGTCTAGTGAGAAAAGATTAAATTAAAAATAGGTTCTTTAAAAAAAGACAATTTTAAATAGAAAAATATAAAATTATTAGGTTTTTATTTTAATTATGTAAGTACATAGTTAGAAAAAAAGTCAATAATAGCCATTGTAGATTTTTTTTTTATCTTTCATATATTATCATTTTTTGCAGTCTATGTCTAAGAGTTATAGTTTTTGAAATAATTTAATTATACCTAATACAAATTAAGAACATTACAGTACTACCGTTTATTTGTAAAATGGTTCTAAAACAAATACTATTGTGTAAAAAGACCTGCGAACATAAGAATTTGCTACTTAAGTACCTATATATCTATATGAGAAACATGATACAGTGATTACATTACCTACCTATCGTATTTTTTCGAATCCCCTTCCCCTTTTCCTTTTGAGCATGACTGAATGGACAACCCCTTTGCTTATAACCTACCTAACATTTATTAAAACAGTACAATATTTTCACATAACGGCACTTATAATAGTTATTCGAGAAAGCAGATGTTAATATGTGCCCATATGCAAGCTGAAATTGATGTAAATATGAACAGCACGATCTGAAAGTAACTAAGTTGGCAGATACGTAAACAAGGATAATTTATTTGTTTTGTTTTCTGAATTGAATAGTTGCAAAAATTTGCACATAGGACATAACAGAATTGGAATGTTAAACAAGTTAACGGTAGGTAAGAAGTAACCATTGCGTCGTCTATTTATTTAAGGACAGACGTCACGTTAACATGTGACGTTATACCAATCAAGCTTTGCCAGTCCTGAGAACTAAAATGTTATGCCTCTAATCCTATAATTACACTGACTAAACTTAAAACTTAATCTTAAAAACTCAATATATAAAGTGCACATGGCAAACCTATCACCTAACCTATCGCGTTCTCATCCTACAACCGAAACACTGACTACAAAGGAAACTGCTTAGCGGCTGAAACAGTCACGCAAACGAGTTTATACAAGGTCCACCTCGATGAAACAGTCTTAGATAATGCCAAATATATTTTGTGGGGTCCATTACACCGTACATGTCTAGAGGCGACGGTGATCACTTTTTATTAAGATTGCTTATAAGCTTTCAATGTAGTAGTACTGTTCATATAAAAAGAACCTGTTCAAATTTGTTACTTAAATAAAAATTGAAATAAAGATGTTGAAGTTTTACTAACAATTATAAATTTTAAGTCAATCCTGATTTTTTTTCACTGTTCATTCCTATGAGAAACAGTATATAACTAGATAACATTTACTTGTAGGTAGGTACCTACGCAGTTCAACATCTTTTCTTGTCATTAATTATACGATGATTGACAAATAAAGATTATTACTACTGCCAGGATAGTGATGTACAGTATGTTGCACTATCTTTTTAATACTTGTGCTCACCGAGAGTGTGTGGCATAGACATTAAATAATTAGCGTAGTAATATTTTTGTATTCTACCTTCAGCAAGTTTTACCGGCTGGAGATGGAACCTATGTGGCTTTCGATAATGATATTTTAATCATATTAATTACCTAGAAATAGGAAATCAATATATAATACTGGCTGTCCCAGCAAACGTTGTTTTGCCATATAAATTAATAACGCTATAAAAAAATAGGGGTTGCTGATAGAAGGGTGAAAATTTAGGATTGTATGTATTTTTGTATGTTGTATCATAAAAAAATTGAAACTAAAAATTTTGTTTAAAAAATAAAAAATTATATTTAGGGTTGGACTACCCCTAACATTAAGGGGGATGAAAAATAGATGTTGGCCGATTCTCAGACCTACTCAATACGCTTACAAAATTTCATGAGAATCGGTCAACCCGTTTCGGAGGAGTATGGGAACGAAAACTGTGACACGAGAATTTTATATATAACATTAAGAGGCCTTTCACATTTTTTGGCCTAAAAGCAGGGTCTTTGGGGTTCTGGTTCTCTTTTTACAATTTCAATAACTATTTTATTTTACATTATGGGATTCTGAGCTTTAATATAGATAATTACCTACTTACTTACACAATATGAAACGCCTGAACAACCTTTATGTGACTTTGATTTAAAATTATATTTAACTTAACAAAATTTTAAATATAATTTATAATTTTTTTAAATTAATTATTGACTCATATTATTTTAACTGCAATTATTATCTGTGGTACAGATATTGGCATCTTCGTGAAATGGAACGTAATAAATACTTCTTTGCAATAACATTCGCCGCAAGATGGCGTTTCCGTTGCATAATTAATTGACGCATGCGCCACACATTGCAATCAGCTGTCAAAAAGAACATAATCACGTAAAAAACAAAATTATTTGTGTCCTAAGATAATTCCCGTCAATATGGCGGGGCAAAATCCAGGTTCGCCGACAGACTTTCAGTATTTTTATGAGGATGAAGTCTATAAAATCAACAACCGTGGTCAAGTCGTCTTCGGTCTCGTACTTGAAAACTATGAAGGCATCTCGAGCGATCAAGAGAGCGACATTGAAGCAGCTGTACAAAAAGGCGAAATTCGTGTTGTATGGCACCCCTCCGGCACTGAACGGGTCATATCCGAAAAGACGGTAAGCAAGTTCACCTTCCAGAAAGGCGCTGCCTTTTAACATTCAATTGCAGTCATGTTTTAGCACTTAATGGTGGTGAACTATTGTCTATTGCAGAAAAATAAATTTCTATTATGTACAACAACCCCTACCTCGAAATTAGGGTTCACAGGGTACAGGATTATCTAAATTGATGGTATTCAAATTGATAACTTGTCCCTTGAGGGTAGAATAATAATTGCAGTGTTTTATAGTTCCTACTATTTAAAATCAATTAGAATAATTTGTTGTCTGATAAAATTGTTAATTTATGAAATTGGAGAAAAGCCAAGTTGATGAACTTTTCAATTACAACAATATATAAAAATCACTTATTTTGTTGGCATTGATATTTCTATAGTAATTGCCCTCTGTAGTCATAAAATTTTAATTTCATATTGATTTAAGATTTATATGGAATCATTATAATTTTTCATTTGTCAAATTTAATCTTATCATCTTTTTGTTACCAGTAATTTCTTTTTAATTTAGAGTATTAGTATTATAATGTATTGTGATAGTAAATTATTGACAATTAACTTCTCAGGTATCATGCTGTACGTAATAAAAATGTGACACTGACTGTTTAGGCATCAATATATGTTACATCTTTCAAATTTGCTTCTTTTTTGTTTATGATAACCTATCTTAACTAAATAAATTTGGAATAACTCTATAAAAATTCTATTGCAAGTAAATTTGCACAGAGCTGAGCTGGTTAAACAGATTTAAATGTAATTTTAATATTAGTTTTTTGGGTTAGTTTTTCATACCTACTAAAATGAATTAAGCTTATATTTATACGTTTGGATATATACTTACATTTGTATTGCTTGAGATGTAAAATATTTTTGAATGAGTGTCTGACATTTATTTATGACAAGGATCAATTTTCATTCGGTGGTTAGCAAAAGCTCTATGCATCTATCAAACAATGATTGTCAAAGAACTTTTGATTTTTAACTTCTCATTTGACTAGTGGCCTATCTTAGCTTTGCATGGGTGCGGTGCATTTCTGTTCAACTCTTATAATATTAGATTTAAATTTTTTTTTGTATTTATCTGAATTGTGGGGAATCCCCTATACTTTTAGAGATATACTGTTATTTCACTTATCTTATCTTGCTGTGTAAATTAGTTCTCTAATAAAAAATGATAATTACCCATTAACATAATCTTACAAAAAGTAATACAATATTATACACAAATATTAATATTGTATTGTATAAAGCCCCTATATAATTATGCATAGTTTAATTATTAATGGATGAATATTGAATGGTACACTTAAACTGCCTGCGCTTAAGTGTACCATTTAACATTCATCATTATGTTGATGGAATACCAGTAGAGGATACCATATTAGCCCGGAGTCAAGTCAATTAGCCCATAAGTTAGTTCAATTTTTCACAGCAACTAAATATAATGGTTTACACGGGACAACTAAGTGGAGATCAATTTGATAGTTTATTAGTAGCAATAGGGTCCTCTCTTCCTCTCAATTTGACATAAATAACATTATCGGTTACCTTTTATTTTTAATAAAATTTGTCATTGCTCTTACTGTAAGAGAAAGAGTTTTTAAAATTGATTAAGTATTATTTTATTTTGTTATAAGTATTAAAGTACTTTATTTTATTTATTAATTATTTTAATAGTACTTTATCAGAATACTACACCTACCTGCGCTAACGGTATACGCTGGAGGGGCATACATGACAAATTCCTTGTGAATTTATCATAATTTCCAGGGAGAACCGCATGGAGGTCAATCTGACATGGTACTTTGCTACAAACTAACAATCCCCTATCCCCCATAAGATTTCATAATTGTTGTTGTTAATATAAAACCATTTTTTTTTATTGCAGGTCGGACTAGCTGATCGCTCACTAATGCCAGGCGATGTAGTCCGCCGGCTTATTGCTGGCAAGGATACACAGAGAGGTTACTGCAGAGACATTGTAATGACTGCCGCCCTACAAATAGTTGGAACTAAGCATGTGATTCCAAGTGTAGCCAGTGAGAGGCTGCAACCGTTAGAAGAGTTCACTCCCGACCTCGCAGTGTGCCTTGAATCTTGGGTTGGAACTTCAAAGGTATATATTATAAACAATTAAAATTTAGGTTACTATGTTCTAGATTATTACATGTTGGGTAATGGCTATAATATTATATTAGAATCTGTTGGTCTCTTGCATGATGTACTCATGATACAATTGTATCTCCACATTGAGTTCCAATAATAAGATTTTTTTTACCTGTTTAGTGGTGAAAATGTAATAAAGTGACAAACAGATTTCTACATAGTATGGATAAGTTAATAGTCTGACTTGTATTGAGTGTTTCATCAGTTGAGTTAAGGCTAATCTAAACTAAGGCTTATCTTTATTAATGAAATGAAATGACTATTGCATTGCACACATACAACTGTTATTGTAACATGGCCATGTTTCAACTCCATTACATAGGTAGGTGGATGGTAGGCTTTAGTTTGCACATAGACATCTACATGAGCATCTCTGTCTCATCTATTTCAGCCAGTTGCAAAACAGGTTGAGGTATGGTAATGAAGTTACATGGCACATTTTAGGTATATTGTCTATAGGTATAACATCTTAGGTATATTGTCTCTAGAATGGCATTAATGCATAAAACAGTATGATGGGCATGATGTGATGACATAATTTGTTGCGCCCTTTATACCTGTGGGGCGACAGTTACCACTTAGTATCATGTGAGCCCTCAGCATGTTTCTTATTCCAGTTATAAAAAAACTGTTTAATTGTTTCAACAGGCAGTCCACAGTAAATTGCGGCTGGTTTCCGCTGATGGTTCCCGTCTCGAGTACCCCGACCTCGACAGTTGTCCTCTAGAAGATTACTCAATGCGTCGCCGTCGCTCCACACCATATTCTTCGTCAGAGTTCTACCCTGGCCAAGTAGTGTACGGTCCACTCGGTTCCTTGGACAATGCTAACTGGCTTCACATGACAAAAGAGATGAAAGCTGCAAGAAAGCACAAGATGCATGATCATAAGGTATGTAATAATATTATTTACAATATACCATATTTGGCAATGTTTTTTTTTATTTATATTTATTCTTCTCTGTTTCTTGTGGGATACATAATATAGCAAAATTTCTCTACTACTACTATTTACTACTTACTATTTGCATAGACATTATGTTTAATATATGTTTGTGTTGTGTTCATATTCTGATTGATTGAGTGTTGAGTGTCCATTTGTAATAACTCAAGATATTGTAATTATCTAAATTCGTTCTTTCAAATATAACTTGTTTGATTACAGTTCACGGTGGAAGCGGTGGTGACTGAAAGCGTGAGTGTACACTGGCAGTGCCGAGCCCTCTGCACCCATGTAGCGGACGCGACAGCCACCCCTGCTCAACCTAAATTCCTCGTAGAAGGTGGGTCTTTTTACAACTGTATCCCTATATTGATATCAGTTGTCCAGTACCCATGGCAAAGCTCTTAGCTTGGGACTAGATGATACTGTGTGAATTATCCTGATATATTAATGATTTATGTATTTAATTTTACTATGACTTGTGTTAAAGTATTTTTTTATACAGGTGAAGATCTTAAAAATCTCAAGTTGCTCAACGTGTTTGAACCATGCACTCTTCAAGTCGGTGATCGCAACTTCCTCACCATTGGTCCAGACGATACATTTATCAGCAAGAAGCAATGGAGGAAACAGCAAAGTATGAAATTATTAATTAATTAATCTATGCATATAATACAAATGTTGCTTTCAGTACATGAAAGTTATTAGAGTACCTTATCCACGTAATACTACCCAAAATTGATAATATCAGAAATGTCCAAAGTAAATTACTTAGGACAGTTCTGGTATTATCAGGATACTACTGTAATGTACATATTGTGTGGAACATAATAAATTTTTGGTCACTAACACACATAATTTGTATAAAGGTTTTAAAAGTTTCCACTTTACTTCTTTGAGAACTATGTTTAGTTTAATTAGTATCACTGACGTTCTGCATACCTAAAAACACCAGCTCTGTTTTTTTATAAGGGTGGAAATTCTAGCGAGTTAGACCTTATGAATGAGAGATACAACCAATTTATATATTATACAAAACTATTGCCTAATGCATTTAGATTATTAGATATGCACTGTTCTTATATTAATAATATTTGACATTTATTATTACAGGTAAACACTATAGGAATCTTCGGAAACAAACCCGGCCAACTAAGAAATTATCTAAATCTGAGACTAACTCTACCGATCATATGCCGTCCAGACCCAAAAAGAGAGCATCGTCACACCGTAAACCTAAGTCTGTGGATGTAAGTAATTTTACTACTTTCTATGTACAAAACAAATAACAAAAGTTTATTGGCTTATTGTTTACTTAAAACATTTTGTGGCTGTTTATTTAAAAATTACAAATTTTGACAAATTTTCAGTTTACAAACTAGAGCTCTAATCTTTCTTCTGTATCTTATTAATTTTAATATTATAAAAGCGAAAGTTTGTAAGTATGGCTGGATGTTTGTTACTCTTACATGCAAAAACTACTGAACGGATTTCGATGAAACTTCAGACGAACAGAGGTTCCCAAACTTTTTCGTGTGTTTTTTTGCCATATTTTTCGATTTTGAGTAGACCCCCCATTCTTACCTGGTATTTATTTTTTGTAAATTTCTAACTGTATATTTTATTCAGTGCAATGTAAAAAATACAATATTAACATAAAGTAAAAATAACAATATGACCGATGTCGTATACCCCTTGTAATTTTTTACAGACCCCTGGGGGTCGATATACATAGATCACTTAATCAATGGTAATCACTGCTTTACAGTAATGTTGCTTATACATCAGAATAACATATAGGCTATAAATTTCATGCGGTTGAAACCGCGGGCACAGCTAGTAATATAATATGAATATACATGAAATTAAATGATTATTATTGATTGAAATATGCTTTGAATATGTAAACAGACTGAAATGGAGGTAGACGCGTCAGATGACAAGTTGGAATGCCTAGAAGAAGCTCTAAAGGCGGACACAAACTGCCCCAGTATCAAGATCGAGCCCAGCGGAGATATATCACTGCCAATGGCCAGCAGCCAAGAAGATACCGCGACCGAGGAGAAAAACGACTCGGGCATCAGGTATAATATAAAATTGTAATACTATTACAATAACATACTAAGGTTTGTCATAACTTTTTTATGTAATTTAATGGCAAACAACCTAATGCCTCACCTGATGGTAAGTGGTAACCGTCGCCTATTAACAAGAACAGCATTTCTGACATCCTGTTTGACAGTCATGGATAGCTTTTCTAGAGGGCTTAGATGTCGTATCTCTTATCCTTTAATTACACTGCCTCATCACACCCTACAACCGATGCACATCTTACAGAGCAAGCTGCTTGGCGGCTGAAATAGGTGTAAACGACGAGTCTGTTTGGAAACACGGGTATATATTTTTTAAAACTAACAAATTTACTTTATTTAGAAAAAACAAATGTGTAATAGTTAAGATAATGCTTTACGCATCTTCATGAACATCATGGAATGTGATGATTAACTTGACTAAAAAGTGGTCTATCCAAACTTCAGAACAAATGACAGTCATTTAGGTACTAATATACCAAATGGACAAACATGTTCACTTTCACTCTTACAATTTTATATATTCTTTAAACCCAAAAGTTGTTACCAAAATCTAATCAAATTGAATGATCCACAGCCCAGAGCCGACAAAGGAAGATAGCTCGCTGCTAAATGGTGACAGCAAGTGTTCTGAGGGCAATGATGATGACTCAGACAATTGGGAGAACACCAGCAGCGATGGCAGTGATACTGATAGGTAAATCAATATATTTATATGTTGGCTCGTTGCAACAATTTCTAATAAAATAATTGACATAATAGTTATACATATAGGACCTACGGTGCTAGGATCTGGATCTGTATTAGATATTAATTGGTTTTGGACAAAGAGAGTATATTCTATCGGCTTTGTATCCCGAAATTTTTAGAGCTCCCCGAGTTATCTTACGCTTTACCTACGGCGTTCGTTCTGTGAATACCTTCCGTAACTATCGCATCGTGACTACTGACTGACACACTGTATTGTTACAGAAAGTCGAAATCGCTTCTTTCTTTTTGTAATTCTAGCTCAATCCTTTTACTTCGGAGCGTATATAGACTGATTTGCTCCGAACAAGCAGTCACTCAGTATAGTACCCCGGGCGGGACAGTGTATGTTTGTTTATGGAGTGAATTAAATGCGTGCACAGCGGCGCGACGTGGTCGTCACGGTGTTCGTCAGCGGCGTCGCAACGCGGCAAGCGGTCGCCGCAGCTGGCCGTGCGCCTGCTGCGCGGCAAGCGACTCAAGCGGGCAGTGAGGCGCGCGCCCCCGCCGCCGCCGCCCCGACTAGCGGACCGCGTCGTCGTCGAGACGCTGCACACCACCAGCCGCGCCAACGTCGTCTGGCAGGTACCACTCGCACCGCACCCCACACGCCACACTCGCACCACACCCAACACTCACACCACACGTCGCTGACGCTGCACACCACCAGCTATGCTTACGTCGTCTGGCACGTAGCTTTAGCACCACTCGCCGCACTGCACACTACAACTCACACCACACTATACTCACACCACACTATACTCACACCACACTATACTCACACCCCACACTCACACCATTTGGAACTCTCTCTCTATACTCACATCTAAATACAACAATCAGTTAATCAATTTTGAAATTAAATACTATTACAATATTAATGTGTATAATTTAGATAATGTCCATAAATGTAATAACTTCTTTTAACAGGATGGAACCATAGAGATGGGTATACCATCAACCCAACTGTATCCGATACACCACTTAGATGGACAGGAGTGCTTCCCAGGTGATTTCGTAGTCAGCGGCGCAGCCAATATTGAAGAGAACCAACAGGTATGTACACTGAGAGTGGTAGACAAACTGACCATGATAAATGGTGGTCTTTTTAAAAAACTACAAACATAGGAATACATAATATTAAGTATTTTTAACCGATTAAAAAAATAAGGAGATTATCAATTTCCCTGTACTACACATGCCAAAATAGAATGAATACGCTGTTGTTTACGTCCTTTGTTATAAACTACTTTACTTCCAAACAAAGATTACTATTATGAATGTTTGTATTTTGTGGATATCAAACCCGCGACTCTTGCAAGTTAAGACTCTTAACTACTACATCACTGACATCGTCTCAAAACATTATTTTAATTGTTTGTTTTTTTACCCGTGGCAACAGCTAAAGCACAGAGAATATGGCGTAGTGCAGCGCGTCGACCATCACGGCCGTACAGCCATCGTGCACTGGTACCGGACCTACACCAGCGCGGACGAGCCCGTGTACGTATATATAATCACTGGTATTGAAAATAAAACCCTATTCCCGTCGAAATAAACACAGATTGCCATACTAGAGCCCATTAGTTTTTCTATGACAGTATGGACAGACTCGTTACGCCCCTACACGTTCACTTGTTTGACTAAAATTTTGATTGGATTTGATCAGATGTATGATTAGATTGGTCAGTGATATTATAGGATAAGATGTGTGACATCTTAATATTCTAGAATAGCAACGCATTGGTGATATCTCGGGTGTCACATGATGTGATCTCCGTGGTGTTCTTGTATATAGGTCACGGCTACCATGATGTGGAACATCGGCTTGTTTGCCATTCCAATAACATATAACAAAATATAGACACTTTGCACGTAAGGCATGTTTTTTTATGTCAAGAGTTGAATTTCAAAAGTTTTATATTCTCCGCACAGTCCTCAGATGCTGCACGAAAGCGAGATGAGCGTCTACGACCTGAAGGACCATCCGGACTTCCAGTACCGACCCGGGACGGTGGTCATCCGAGTCGCCAATTTCACCGGCGAGGATGCGAACTGCACCGCTGGGCAGGTCATCGATAACTTCCCAACTGGCCGCGTCAAGGTCTGGTGGGTGGATGGCCACACCAGCATGTGCTGGCCACAGGATCTATACAAGGTAAGGAATTTCTTGTATTTGCACTAAATTCTTTTACAATAATAAAGAGCAGATTATGTAATTGTTAACAAGTAGAAGTTTAGGGGAGACCTACAATTCTCATAAGGCCTAAGCTATTTTATGTTAAAATAAACAGAACATCCAACATACTTTGGACAATGTAACGTATATTACATTGTTCAATGAGCGTTCCGCTGATGATCTGACATTACAGTTGCGACTCACAACGACCAGGCAAGTATTTTTTGCGACGAACTCAACTGGATTTTTTTTATAAAATTTTCTAGATAATTCTTATAATAGGTCTTAATATGAATATTTTTACGGTAAATAAAGATCCGGTTAACATTATAAATAATGTATATTAAACACGAATGTTTAAAAATGATTTTGACATTGACTTTGAAAATAATGTATGTAATTAATCGAATTAGGTGTTATTTTGCGGAAATCCGTTTTACTACTTAATGGATTAATATTATTTTTTTCAACTCCGTTACAATTAGCAATATAAGTGTAGACTCAATAATGGTCGGAATTTGATCACTATTACAGAAGATCGTAACGGTAGTCAGGTTTCCGCTCTGAATGTTTGTTATCTCATACATGCTAATTATAGCGGAGTTAAATCAAATAATTATAAATACATTAAGTTATAATGTACTAGCTGACCCGGTAAAAGTTGTTTTGCCATATAAATTAATATCGTTATTAAAAAATAGGGGTTGGTGATAGAAGGGTTATAATTTAGGGTTGTATGTATTTTTATTGTGTGTAATTTTGGGGGCAGTCACCCTTAACATTTAGGGGTATAAAAATTAATTATAAACCTATTCTCAGACCTACTGAATATACATATAAAATTTCATAAAAATCGGTCAAACCGTTTCGGAGGAGTATAAACACGAAACCTGTGACACGAGAATTTTATGTTATAATATGTGTGGACTGGTGACGTAGGTGGGCGAGTACGACTCGGAGGAGGGCGAGCTGTGGGGCTCGGACGGGTCGGGCTCCGAGGACTCGTGGGAGACGCAGAGCTCCGCGCACGAGCCCGACCCCGCAGACAGACTCGAGCCGCCCGCCGACCACGACCACCACCAGGGTACCGTCCCCATACTACAAGCTGTACAAAGTCGTCTGCGTACACACATACAATAGAATAATAATAATAACTTTATTGTGCAAAAAAAAAAAAAACAAATACAAAAGAGACTTAACTAAGGTTATATATCTATATTATTTTATATATATACAATAGTTCATAAAACTATTTAATATCAAGTACAGTGCAGTAGTGTCTAAACTAGGCCTAGCCTGTATCTCAGACACCATTGCCCACCTAAAGAAAACATGCTATACGATTCTTAAGAGTTGAATGAAAAAAATAAGACTAATATAGGGTATACTTATAAATAAAATAAATCGTGTCGTTGAGGCAATGAATGCGTCGCATCGTATGTTCCAACTACAATCGGTGCATAAATACTTGCAAGTGCGACCACTAAATGTAGGAACTTATGCAATAAAGTATGTTTGTTACAAAAAAACTGTTAAGAATAGAATAACAATCACAGTAGAATCCGGATATAACAACCTTCAAAGGACTTGCAATATCATGTCATGCTAACCGGATAAAGCACAAAACAACAGGATTATTTCTTAACATATATACATACATATAAATGAATGTATGATTTTCCTATTTAGTTAAATAAAATAGTTTATAGGAATCTTGATGGGTGCTTTATTTTAATAGTTCTTTGCGAGGGTTGCATTTGTTTCACCGGCTTCTAATCTATGTAATATTGCACTTTCTTTATTCAATTATAAAACACTTTTAGCTTCACAGAACTCATTTTGTTAAGGTTGTTGAACTTGTCATAAACGATGACAAACAGTAACTGTGATTCACGCCTCTGTAACAAATTACTAAGCGCGCGGGGCCAATAAGACGAGGTATTTGTTTGTAGGTTGTTTAAACAAAACATTGCGCGTCGTTTTAACGGGACATATTATCGTAAATATGATTGCTATAAGCAGATGATCGCTTAAACCAAAGTCGCACTAAGCGGTTATATTTTCTTGGGTCCTTACTATAAAACCTAACTTGATTAAACATTATCGTCGCTAAAATAGGTTAGTAGTTATATATGAATTATACTGTATTACAGTAGCATATAAATTATTATATCATATAAACGAAAACAAAACAATGCATTAAATTGAAGATTTGAAAGATCGGAGCGGCGCAGACGACTTTGTACATAGTAAAGATACCGGCCGGGTGACGTGATAACAGAATAATATTCAAGTCGTTAGGGGGTTTGTGTACAGTGTTCGCGAACCCGATGCGGCAAGAGGCGGTGGCGGTGGAGGCCCCGGCGGCCCCGGCGGCCCCGGCGGCTGCAGCGGCGGCCGGCAGCGGAGCCCCCGCCGCGCCCGCCGCGCCCGGGGCCGCCGTGCCGCGCCTGCTGGAGCCGCGCGTGGCCGCGCACATCGAGCGTGGACGGGTCGCCATGCGCCGTCTAGAGGAGATGTTCGCCAAGCATCCCACCTTGCAGAGCCAGGAGGTAAACATTAGACACCTATGTTGCGGATAACGTATAATTCATCACATATACAATTAGTACTGTTGGACTTAAGATATGACTATTACTTAGCAAGTAATAGTCATATCTTACGTCCAATTGAAACGAAGAATAAATTGTATTTATAAGTCCGATTACAGTGAATAATTAGTACTTTAACAGGATTTAATTTTGATTTCTTTTTTCTGTAATTGTATTGTTTTATAATACGCTACTTTTGCGTATTATTTTATATTATGTATATTATTGAGTTTTTATTAGTATAAATTATTTGATTTTATTTAAGTAATGAACATGTAAATAGGAGAATGGCTGTTGTAATGACTGGGATTGTTAATATGTTTCAGATAATGCGTAAACTATTAAATTTATATAAAGACTGCCGGTTTTTGGATCGTCTCATGGGCACTTCGTTCTTCCATGAAGATCACTTTCTGGTAAGATTTTGTTTATTAAATTTAATTATTATCTTAAAGTAATTTAATTACATGTTTCTGATATAAGTAAGAAAACTGTGAAGATAGAATTGTAAACCAGCATGTGTAACTTTGAGTACTATCTCAATCGGCAAATTAGATATTAGTATTATGACTTGTGTATATATTGTATAGGGTTCTGTACGTAGGGTCCGGTAGAGCTAGTGCTCCAACTCGTTCGCTCGTGTACTCATTCTCTACGGCCGTGTACATAGGGTCTGCTAGAGCGAGTGCGCGAGCGCGGTGCGAGCACGCCTCGCGCGGGGGAGCGGCGCGTGCACGAGCAGCTGGCGCGGCTGTTCGCGCCCGCGGACCCGCCCGACTCCGCGCACCACGCGCACCACGCGCACCACGCGCACCACTCCCACCACTCCCACCACTCCCACGCCGCCATGCTCGTGGACGACGACGCGTCCGCCGACACGGTCATCACTGCCAACGTCACCGTCGAGCCTATGGAGGTCGGTCGCGATGTCATATACATACATATGTCTGTTATAATTTTTTTTTAGTAGTGGGAATGTGAAGTAAGCTGCTGCTCCGTTATGGGCGGCTGAAATAGGAGAGACAGATACCCAACCGGTAGTCTCTCGAGAAAATGTCGGCAGAAAATTCGTTCCATAATCCTATACTATGCGATAGGAAGCTCCTCTGAAACCTCACCGTGCGAGACCGCTTAGGTTCCAGCGTATGTGGATGAATTCCCTATCGATGAGAGCGCATACATGTATGTACCTAATATGTTGTGTTGCACATGATACTCTTATGCATTGCCATTCCTAAAGACTGAGAACATAATTAGTACAAGTAATATACTCTAGAATGCACTCTCTTGTATCTTACACTTACTTATCTTGAAGTCAAAACACAACTTGCAAAGCAGGCTTAGCAGAGTTTGATGAGGCAAAGGTACAACGGTGTAGAATATATCCATCTGGCATTAAAACTATCTAAATAAAAACAATCCATACTTTCTAGGTTGAAAGTGCAACGCCTAAGAAACAATTACATCTGAATTTGGAGTCTAACCAAGCATCTGGATCAGAAAATAATATATTACAAGAAAATGCTACTACTGAAAATCGTAAGTTACATCAGACAGTATTTATTATTATTGTTATTTAGAAAACTGATACTTATGTATATTACATATCCATACTACTTATTATAAATTAGAAAATATCTCTTTGTTAAATTTAATATGAACATGTAGGCTATCTTTTATGTCAAATAATGAAATACAGGATGAAAATTTGTCTGAAAATAAGTTCGTAAATACTAATGTTTAAATCGTGCGGAATTTAAAGAGCCTTACACTAAGCCGCTACACCGCCGAGGTCTATTATTATACGTACAAAAATGATAATATTTACGTTGAATTGACATCATTTACAGCGGGTGTGGAGGGCGCTGATGTTGATGGTACGACTCGCAACGTGTGCTATAAGCTGTGCTCGCTCATCCACACGCAACTTGTCAAAGCTCACGCAGAAGTCAGCCGGTATGTATGCACCCATTTCATTTCTAATACTCATAATAATAATAAAGTTTATTGTATTAATTAGGTTTATACAATCAATAGTAGTCCTACAACTGATAGGTCTAAATGTAATAAGCGCTAGCTGTGAAACAGAAGTCTAATTTCTATGATTCTGAACGAGTTGCAAATGCGAGTTTAGTGGTATGGTTCGCAATTGCAACTGTAAAATACTCCATACATAACTGCAAAAATGTAGATTTTAATCCATTACAATCGACAAATGTTAATTACACATCTGGGCCCCAGTAACTACTCTGTATCAAGTCGTATGTCTAATTCATACCAATCCACTTTTGTACTGTTATTTTAAAAAACGAACTTAATCAAATCTAAAGCAAATAAATCGATAACGATGTCAGTCCTTTCCTTTATTACGAAATATGGAATTAATAAATTGCTAGTGTATTCAAAAGTATGAAAAAGGCAGGAAATGTAGTTTTCAATATAATGCAAGCTAAATTATCATGAACTGATTTTACAAAATAAGTAACAAACTTTATTAGTTTCCAATTAGAATTTCATGATTATATGTGTACTCAACTTGATTGTGTGGCATAATTGCAATTGTGAGTCATGTAACTGCTACTGATAAATCGATTTCAATCTATTTAAAGTAACGATTGATTGATCGCCATTTATATAAATGTCATTCATATTCATAACCATTCCATAATTGTAGATACCTTAAAGCTGCATACAGATTCACAGTGTAAATGTATTGACAACTAAACATGTATAATTATTATTTTTATAAACAATTATTGGGCCGCCCCGACTTCACCTAAATTATAATATATAATAATAATCTCAGGAGAATTCACACAGCTCCATCTAGACCCAAGTTAAGCTAGCTAAAACTTGTGTTATGGGTACTAGATAACTGATACATATTCATATTTTTTTTTTGTAAATACATACATATTATACATAGAAAACACCCAGACCGATACAAACAATCATACTCATGAATACAAATGTTTGTGCCGTGCGAGGAATCGAACCCGCGGCCATGGTCGTAAAGCGGTGTGCTAGACCGCTAGACCACCGAGTTCGTCAATTATGACCACAGGGTCATAATTTTGTGGATTTTGAATATCTACTAGATACAATATCGTGTACGTCCTCGTACTCATCCGAAACTGTTTGACATTTGGTAGGTCTGAATTGTCGTAGGCTATTTTTTTATACCCCAACGCGATAACGGCGATCCTATTCAGGAATATATATATTGCAAAACAATGTATACCTGTAGGTTTGCTAATATTTATATAATATCTACCTATGTAACACTGGAATAATGTTCATAATGTTAACCAGTGAAAAATTTTAATGTATCGTTGCAGTGGTTACTGAATCGATTTTCCTCATTTTAACATCAACATTTTGTCTAATATGAAATTAAATATAGATTATTAATATTTTGAATGTAATACCATAGATGAAATAATAGTATAGACCAATAAAGGTGTTGACGAAGAAACCGCTACAACGGTATATACTAAACGGCAGGCATATTAAATCATAATTATTACATAGTATAAAACAAAGTCGCTGTCTGTCCGTCTCTATGTATGCTTAAATCTTTAAAAACTACGCAACGAATTATGAAACAGTTTTTTTAAATAGAGTGATTGTAGGTTTATATATATAATATATGTACACCCGTGCGAAGCCGGGGCGAGTAGCTAATATGTAATAATTACGAAAGAATTAGACCAAGATCCCTGGCTAGCCAGCGGCCACTTATGTTATGATGAAAGAAATGTGTAATGATTGAATTATGCACTAGCGTGATTAATCAATAGATACTAATCTACTCTTGTAATATTGTATGCTTACTCGCTAGTTTGACCAGACGGCCATTTACCAGGCATTAGGTACTGACGGTGTAAACAAAAAATGTTAACATTCGTTATTTGTTTATGTGTGATTTATATATTATGAAACCAGACAGCTATTTTAAAACGATTAAAAAAATAACCAGTCAGATCTACGAATCTAAAATTCTAAAATCTGTCTAAAAATCCCACAGACTCAATTTTAATTACGCTAATTCTGATGCAGGTCTAGGATCTTGCTCTATGTGTGTATGTAATTAACAAACATATAATTAATTTATATATAATATATGAATTCTTTAGCTACCAATATACATATATACGTTCTTTAGTGACCAATGTGTTTTCAATCCTGGACATGATGCTGAATAAATTCACTGAATGGATACTTCAGTTTGCTATATATAATGTAGATCTTATTAAGTTGTATTTGAGTACACATATGTATTTATGACGTCATAATTGTATAAGAAATTAATAAAATTCTATTGCAATCGAAATGATTATAATAGTACTAACGTCCAAAATACGAAAATCACTTCATAAATGTTATAATATTGCTTATGTGAAGTTAAATAACGCATAACAACATTACTCACTTAACATTTAAAATATTTTTATTTTATTGTCTCAATAGTCACAAGTTCAATACTCACTCCATAGCCACCTGATGGAAGTGGTTATGGAATCCATCGCTCCCACCATACAAATGCTTTTTCACGCCTGGAAAGGTTCCTAGTTGTTTTTGTCTGTATATATTCTTAGGATATTTCCGTTTTCTCTTATTTAACAGTCTATACATATTTATTGCGTCGTAATAATGTGTAATTATGGAAATAATAGAGCAAATATTAATTTATATCCGTTTTTATCTATGCACAACAAACGGAAAAGGTCTCCACTTATGTACTGTATTTTATTTTGTTATGAATTAATTCAAAATGTGTTTTTTACGGCGATTATGAAAATATAAGAAATATAACAGCGTGGAAGATATAATTGTTGTACATTTCGTTAGTATTCGATTAATCGGTAAATAAAAGCTGTGTTGTCTTCCACAGGAGAAGGCCCCAAGAACTGGCCGAATTCCTTAACAGCTTAATGAAAACACAAACCGCGACAGAGGAGAAGTTACCCTACCACTTTTCAGTGTGAGCCTCCATTTTTATTTTGATACCTCCCCTTTCATTTTTGTTGCTCGGGATACTGTATGTGATATTAGGTTCTTGAAAAGTAATGATATGAATTTCTAGAATGTTTCGCGTTTTATTTCTAACACTTTAAACAATTAAGAATTCGTTCTTAAATGAAAATTTAAGAACGAATTAAATTAAATTATTATTAATTAAGAATTCGTTCTTAAATGAAAAAAATAATAATCTTATTACTGTTGTTAATGTTGAATATCATATACGGTTTTCCAAATTATTTTTTTAATGTATGTTATATTTATTTTTGCATATTGTTCATTTATAATATTACATCATACATTGATTCATGTGCAATGTAGTTATTATAATGTTATACTAATATTGTGTCTGGCTGTTGTGGTCCCACAATTTCTTATATACATATATTTACGTAGTGTCATTTTATATACTACTGCTTTTATTAAATATATTTGTACATTTCACCTCCTATACGATAGTAGTCCTCTGTAATTTCAACCTATGGGTGTACCATTGATGTCGCATAATTACTTGTGAAGCCCCTGGTGGTCAAATTCTATTGGGTGGACTGTCAGCCCGATAGCTATTGGATTTATTTTACATAATTGCTATATTATGCTTTGTATTAAATGTATTATAAAGGCTTAGTCGTAAAGAGTTTAATACCAAGCCGAAAGCTAGATAGAATACTATTGAAAACGAGCCACTTTCTTCAAGGAGCAATCATTAGTCTCCTGACTATTTCCCTATTTGGAGTTAGCCCTCCTGATACTTTTTACCACCACTCTTGGCGGTTTTGCGTCATCTCAGGCTTTAAAGTTTAAACCCAACGTCGAACGATACTGCTAGATTATTCGACCACCTAGGTTTCACTAAGAAGTGATGTGGAAATTGAAAATTATTTACGAAACCTTCATGCAAATTGCGTAGGGACGTAATCAGTATAGTATGAAATATTCATAATTTTTCTTTGCATGTCTACATTGTTTTTTGGTGAAAACGATTAAGTTTTATGAGTATTATCGGCTGTAGGTATCACGGGTGTCATATAATAACGTGATGTCCGTAGTGCTGTTCATGTATGTAGGCGACGGTTGCCTCCTACCCTCAGGTTGGCCGTAAGCATGTTTGCCATTCTAATTTCATAAAAAATGGCTTTCGGCTGGGTGTACCCTTTACAGAAATGGAAAATATAGAAGATTAGAAAATACAAATGTTCCAAAATTAATACTCACCGTTCTATTATGTAACCTATTTATATTCTTTCAACTAGACAATTCCTAGTGAGCGTCTCGCAATACTTATATTAAACAAATCATTGTCAATCTAGTCAGCATTTATTATATTGTATTGTTTTGGCCTTTTACCTTTTTTTTAACTATTACACTCGATACTCTGAACATATTTTTTTTTAATATCATATAGTATTTATTTATGGTCTCGATTAAAGATGAGTTCACTTGTAATAGTGAAATCTTTTTAACATGTTTATACGAATAAGTATTTATATAACTACGATAAAATGAAAAGATTTTTGATACGAAATATTTTTTTTTATTTTAATAAATTATATCTAGTAATAACAGTATTTGAAGTTCTAATATAAATTTCATATAGTTGATAAAACTGTAATCTAAATATATAGAAATTATATTCAAAATGGCGAAATCGGCTAATAAGTAGAAATAGTATATTATGCATATATTTGCTATTTTTTCTTTACTTGACATTGCGATAACATTTTTTTTTAGTTGAATTTTTTTTGTTATTTTTTTTTATTTAAGTCAGTTCCGAATCATAATATCTATATGTATTGTAAAAAATTTGTTCACAGTAGCGATATATTTTGTTTTTACCTATAGAATCCTCTGTAAAAAGTGGTAACTTAATTTCTCTGTTTTCCGAAATGTTACTTTGTATTACGTCGATACCTTTACTAATCAATAGTCGCATAGTAATTCTCTACATTTGTTTAATGTAAGTTTTGCGTAGTGTAATTTTGTACTAGTCCTTGTAAACACGACCGAAATACCCACTGTAATTATTTGTCTCTCGCTCGCACGTATGCGTGTTTCTTGCTTGTACATATGCGTACTCACTTATGCAGAGTGAGTAGATAATATCATGCTATAGTATTCTTGTCGGTTTAATTGACAGGACTCGTATACAGGGTTAGTTGTAAAGAGTGAACCAATCCAAAAGTTAGTGTATGCATGAAACTTAACTAATTCCCCAAGTTAAAATCTGAATTTTTTTTCAAATCTTCATACAAAAAATGTTGATTCGTTAGAGGTCTTCCAGAAATTACGTTACGTTAGAGAATCGACTAAAAATCATTACATTTCAAAAATGTTTAACTATTAAAATATGAAAATTGAACTATTACTTCATAATGTATATCAATAAATAAAATCGAAGTGTCTGTAATTTCAAATTAACAGCTTTTCATTAAATGCTCGTGAATGTATCTACCGGACTTACATCATTTTTTATGTATAGTTTTGTTAGTCTGTGTGTTTGCTCTTGCTAGTGCCTGAAACGACTGGACCAGCCAGTAGTTTTACTCACAGATAGCTAATATTATAATGAGTAACTTAGGCTACTTTTATTAGTCGCTATATCGCAGCTAGTATTGAATAAAATTGATATATATAAAAGAACGTCACATATATTATACTAGACAGTGTTACAAATAGCCAGTTGTAACAACAACGGGGTGAGCAAGAGTCATGAAAACCGTGTATTGTAATTTATGGATAGCCCCTTATCAAATTTGTATGAATATTTTAAAAAATGTAATTTTGTTTCTTGCATTTTCATTAAGTTTCATGGGTATTCTCTACATGTTTTTGGGGCGGTAGAAATTAGTCCTTTACAACTAAGTCTTGTTTAAATGTATTAGAGCTCTATAAGTGAAGGTACAATATCTATGCATGGTATATACTCATAGTAATTGGTGATATTCTGTAATAATGTTGTAATTATTTCTACTAATACTATTACTTACATGTACATATTTGTATTTCTCTACGTATTTCAGTGAATTTTACACTGATGTACTAGATCATATGCTCATAAAGTTGTTAGAGATTCTCGTATGTTCTCGCATGGTATAACAGATACCCGTATCCCGTAATTAATCATATTTATTCTCATGTATAAACTGTGTTTTTCTGAGGACAGTATATGGACAAATAAATTGATATTTTTATATATTTCTAGTCAATACGGCGCCCTGGTAGTGAGCATGGCCGATCAAGATGAAAAAGGCGATAATAAATCATCCGGAGAAGTCAAAGACGCCACAACCACTACAGTACCAAAAATAGAGGGAGTTTGTGAGTATTTATTTATATTTGTTAAAAACAAATGATAATATTATGAAATGAAAAGAAAATTCTTTGTTGTTCTTCTCACAGAAAAAATACAAACATTTAAGATTTTTAGACCTAACCTTTTAAACACCTTAAACATAAACGATTTTGAGGAAACACTACAAATAGTTTATTATTAATTTAATTAAGCAAAAGGACGAGCCTACCGTAGTTTATCGGATTAATTCTTGGTTTGATTTCATTGTTTATTTCAGGGGAGAGTCAGTCAAAATATAAATTAACACAAATAGTTTGTTTCGACCACATTTGAACTTGCGAACGCTTGGTCGTAATTTAAAGCCGTATACCACTAAGCCAGGACGCTTTTTGTGTATAATAAATATTACTTTGAAAAGTATAACCCAGCAATTTTTCAGCGGCAACGACGGACACAGCGCCACTAGCGACGGCCGAGGCGGCCGACGTGGAGGCCGAGCCCGAGGCGGAGTCGGACGCAGAGCTCGAGGGCGGCGAAGGGTTCTATGTGCTCGAGTCAGCACCGGCCGCACACCGCTTCCACCTCTCCATACTGCAGCCGTCGGAGCCAAAAAGCTTCTACTCGGCTGTCAAGCGAGAGATCAAGTTGCTCAAGAGTGACCTGCCGCCTGGTGTGAGTAGTACAATAACAATACTTGTAGACAATTCACACGATGCAAGTCCCAAAGTACCATAAGGAGAGCATCTGTTATAGGTACTAGACAATTGATACAAATACATAGATACATTTTTTTGTAAATAAACACATAATATACATAGAAAACAGACAAACAATCAAACTTTTGAATACAAATGTTTATACCGTGCGAGGAATCGAACCCGCGACCATCGGATGTAAGGCGGTGTGCTAAATAGTTAGATCACTGCGTGGCGTTCTAGCTTTTTTTAAGCCATCTTTACACGACATTGTTTCACGTGGTCAACCAGGTGTGGGTACGCGGGTACATGGACCGCATGGATCTGCTGTCGGTGATGATCGCCGGCCCCACCAAGACCCCGTACGAGGGCGGGCTGTTCGTGTTCGACGTGCAGCTCGGCGGGGAGTACCCGCGCGCGCCGCCGCTCTGCCACTACCACTCCTACTGCACCGACAGGCTCAACCCCAACCTTTATGAGGACGGGAAGGTAACCGGAATACGCATATATATATATATATATAAAATATCCCCTTTTTTATTGACGGGCTTGGGCTATTTCCAGGTTCTTTAGACCTGCAGCACCTACGTAGATCTACTATGCACGTCCTTTTACAAAGTTCTCCACTTCTCGCTAAAGTATATACTTTCAAGAATATTCTTGGAAGTGATGGTTTTCTCTGGATAGGATGGATGGTTTGAATGGATGTCAGGGTAGGGTGTATACTTATCAAAGGAGATATTTCGTTTATGCATGAGTGCGCTACCACCATATAGGATATGATAGCCAGCAGATTTTTGATAAGCATATGTAGGTCTAGGATTACTATGTTTCTAATAAATTTGTAGTGTCCAGAGGGCCGTAGTTACGATGTATATATCATTTTTACTCAATACCATTAATTTATTACAGTATTTATTTTCAAGGTTCTATTACCGTTCAATGTCAAAATCAATAGTTGATGACGCGTGAGTGCAGTGATACCGCATCCAATTTTGTAACAGATAATGGATCATTAAGATTATCTATTCGATTTATTGATTATTCATCTATTGTTCGTGTATGGGAGACTTAATGATGACGTGTCCGTTGTAACAGATTATAATAGATAGTTTAGCAATTTTTATATCCAAAATATGACGAGTTGTAATCATTTCTTATTTGAATATGTTTCGCCTGTTGACTCCGTTGTTTTTAATTTTGTGTGTTTGTTTGTAGGTCTGCGTGTCTCTGCTTGGCACGTGGTCGGGCCGCGGCGTGGAGGTGTGGGGCAAGGACAGCTCGCTACTGCAGGTCATAGTGTCGCTGCAGGGGCTCATACTCAACGCGGAGCCATACTTCAATGAGGCCGGCTATGAGAAGCAAAAAGGTACGTATTTAGATATAAACGCATTACATTGATTACACAGCCAATGACTATTTCGTGAACCTTGTTTGGCGACATGACAATTTTTAATCATCTCTAACGCTATGACTAATTCCAACTTAAATATACTTCACAAGCGACATCTAAATAGAACAAAGTAAACATTATATACAAATTAACAGGTACACAACAGGGCAAAGAGAACTCCCGCATGTACAACGAAATGGTGCTGCTGAAGCTGGTGCAGTCGATGACGAAGATGGTGATGATGCCGCCGGAGCCGTTCCGCGCGGAGATCCTGCAGCACATGCGGCAGCAGGCGGGCGCGCTGGTGCGCCGCCTGGAGGCGCTGGTGGCCGACGAGGCGCCCGCGCCGCCCGACTTCCCGCTGCTGCCCGCTTCGCGCGGCTTCTGCCTCACGCTTCGCTCCTCCCTAGAATCCTTCCGCAACGCGCTCCGCCGCAACGACATCCAAGTGCCCCCCTCTACCTTATAGCCGACCGCGTAACACCCATAGATAGCACTAGTATTTAATACGTTGTTTATACGCTCTCGGCGCCGACCGTCGGCGTTATTCGAATCACGTACAGGCGATTCTACGTAAAGACTTTTATGCATTTGTAATCGTGTTGTATACGGTCAACGTAACCGGAATGAACGAGTTAGAGACATTTTATATGAGTCACTATCGCATCAGTCGCTTATGAGCATTAAAAATGTGACGCCATTATGTTCTTAATGATTTTCTTGGTAACGAATTCACGGTTCTCGATTGTTGTTTTTATCATTAGAGTTGATGAAGTACATGACTAAACTTTACCTATGAAAATAGCAAAAATATATTTTTTTTGTGTATTTATTCATCCACAGATCGTACAATACTACAAACGCATAAACGTCTTTAAGTTAATTCACCTGTATCACGTACACCGCCACCGACAGTCAAGCTAGTTTCGATTCCACACGCGAGACGTCTCTTTACAGATAAAAAAATATATTTGTAGTTATAGTATTTATTGTGATGTACTTTTCGACTATAGGAATATTATAGATGTTCGAGCCGAGCGTTGTTAGGTTTAATTATTATTTTCTATATAATTTTTTTTATTCACGAATTAAAATTGAAATTCTTATTACGATTTCTTATTATATTATATTATAGTATTATCGTGGCGAGTGCATGTAAATCGAATTTGTTATTCATATTGCTAGTTAATATGAATGTAACCGGTTTGAATTATTACTAAACCAAATTCTAAATAAAATGTTCAATCTTATGTGAATGATAGGTTTTTTAATTGATGAATAGATAATTAATAATATTTATTTATTGAAAAGTAATTATACTTTTGATGCAACATTCAACGTGGTAATTTCTAGGTTTACAAGTACTTATTGAAATTATATTTTAAAGAGGAAGCTTGCTCTGATTAGAATTTCGCTACACTCATACTGTTGCTATAATAAAGACAATTAATATAACATATAATAGGATGTTGTTCCTGTTGATTTATATTTCTACGGTAGTTGTGGTACATTGTTTGTAGAAGTTATTTGGATGGAGAGTGTATTATGAATGTCTAATTTGTTTCCCTTTGTGTGCGTAATGTTATAAATATAAACAATTTTTAATCTAATTTTTATGTTTGTTTTATCCGCGGGGTATTATTTAATTTACATTGTAATTAAAAGTTATGAGCAACAAAATCGTCCAGTGTTGAAAACCAGTACAGAAAATGTTTTAGGATGCTAATTTAGTTGATAATGTTTACTTGAAATTACTTAGTCAATAACAATTGGTTCTCAAAATTGTTTCTCATTATTGCTAAGATTCTAAATTATTTGTCATTCGAAATTAATTAGATCAATAATAGTTACAATTAGGTACTAAAGAATCGTTATGCTGTGATCGGTCTTACGTATAAGTACAGGTAACACGTTTAAAACATTTAGTTGGCAACCACTTCGTACCACTATAGTTTTAGATCGACAATATTTAGCGTTCCAACAAGAATATCAGTGTTACTAGTGCTATTGTTCTAAAGCTTTTACGATATTGAGATTATTAACAATGCTCACCTAGTGATAGTACGGTGAGTGTTCACAACTGTTTAGAATCTAATTTAAAAGAACGTTACTTTGATCTGCTTTTAGTATATCCGACAATAATATTCAATGTTGCCCACTAGCGCCGCCATGCGGCTGCACAATACAATGTAACTTCATGCCAAAGTCAATTGAGCTAGGAAAGGCTTTTGTCGCTTGTGTACGCGAGATAAGTGACAACTATGTATAATGATGATAAAATAAATAATTCTTCAACCTTACACAGTATTATTATTATAACTCATTACCAAGGTAAACCTCGGACTGCAATGTCGTCTGTGTGGGTGGTTTTTTTTCGGTTCTGTGTGGTTTTTTATGCACTTTTGCCGCCAAGAATATGGTTTTATAGGCTGCGTTTCTATCTGAATATGTGAGATATGCAAGTGCATTTACATGTTACAAAGGCATAATAGTCTAGAAATAACAACACGTATGAGACGTTGTGTGGTTGAACTTTTATGTACGCGATGCTGTTCATGTGTGTCCCCGATCGATGCAAGATATGCCATGCCAACTTCCATCGAGTAAGACATCAGCTTGTCAGTCCAGCTACATAAAAAATGCATATTATAGATTAACAAATAAAACAAATGTCTGAACACACAAGTAATATTTAATAATAGAAAAATATGTATTATTGATAAATATTCACACTTTCACTTAATTCTCCACCAACACTATCACAGAAAAATAACTAAAACTATACGTAACAAAATATCCGCGGCTCTAAATGAGCTGGTTATTAAAAATGACATTAAAATAAAAAAAAACATTTATTGTCATACATATTCATGCCAATTTTTTTACGGTAAAACATTACGCAAAATACTAATTAGAAATTGTTCAGTACATAGAATTTGGCATATAAATAAAATATCGGATCGGTTCTAGCTCTAAGAACACAATGTTGACTAGAAACGTATTTCATTAGTCTACATAGATTTCTTTAATGTATAGTAATATTGTATATTATTAAAACTATTGTATTATCTATTATTAGACATACGTTTAGGATAGTATGCAATAATTAATTAATTTTAGAGAGATGCTACATCATCTTTACAAATAACTATTGTATGAATGAATTAATCATTTACTTGTAGCAAACACGGTAAATAGTTTTTTACATTTTTACTGACTACAATTGTAATGCAAATTCTGGGATGCAAATCTTTACAAAACAAATTCAGAATAAATAATTACCATAGATAAAAAAACCAAATAAATATAGATAACATTGGTTTGAAAAACGGTAATCTGTATTACTTCATCAAGAATCAATTACACATTTAAAATATATTTTAGTATCACTGTTATATCTTTCTTATTCAATTTTGTATAAATCTATCTAGCCTTCGTCTCTATAAAAATATTTCAGTGTAACTTATTTTTAAATTATATCACTATATATATGGGCGGTGACAGTAATGCAACATAATAACTACTTAATATATTTATAAAATATATCGTGCACTTCACGTTCACGCTCATTATTGAAAAAAACAATATGGACAAAATATACTTAACATCTATATTCTGTGCGTTATAACAGTGTGTGTTGCAGTACAGTAATCCTTACTTCCTTAATAATATTATAAATGTGAAAGTAGGTATGTTTGTTACACTTTCACGCAAAAACTACTGAACCGATCATCATGAAACATGTTCTTGGTGATATTAGAATGAACATAGGATACTTTTTATTTAAACAATTATTTTTTATATAAAATATCATATCTTATCTTATAGTTTTGCTACTTCAGCATCATGTAGCAGCCAGTAATGAAGTTATAAATCAACGCCATCTAGCAGCCAGTAAAGAAGTCTTGCGAACGAAGCCGCGGGTAAAAGCTAGTAATACAATAAAGTTCTTGTTGATGAATAAACAAGCACAACCAGCTTCATAGTAACGCTGCCGTGTGGGACCTCTGTTACATTTTATCTCTTAGATATGAACATATGTAAGCTACTTCATACTAAACTAAATTAAGTAAGTATACTAATTATTAACTAATCACTGAAGCTTGTGCAATAAATTTTATTTCTGACTGCATCCTCTGTGATGGAAACATAAATAACTAATATAAATTTGAAAAATGTGGTAGGAATGAGCTCATCCTAACCACTTAGAAATTAAGTATACATATACACATAGAAATGGCGTGACAACTGTTGCGTTCATCATACATTTTATCACACAGTTCCTAAATAAAAAAGATCTTATAATATCGGCTGCAATTCACACTATGCTGTAACCATTTAACAACTTTTACTTTGTGGTATTCCACATCAAAACCTAAACATATACTAGGTACTTTTATATAATACAGAATGTTTTATTTGGCATCAAGGTAGCCCTTTCATACAAGTTTTATACAACTGAATAAAAACAATATCAAAAAGAACCCTGTAATGAAATTCCTTCATATTTGTGTGACAAATGTAACTTAACAAAAAATGGCTACCAATTTCTACTGAAATAATTGCTAAATAATCTGCTAGCGGAAGACTCAATACTCACAGTTTTGAGCGTCTAAGTGCCATCTTTGGATATGGTAAACAAGTTATATTCACTGGTCAAAATGCTAAGCTTCAGCGTATGATAAAAAGGTAAATAGGTAATTATGTACTTAATATATATTCCATTTAGTAAGTATATATACATGGCACCACTTTTAAAATACTCATACGTTAAATATTGTCATTTCATTCCAGTAATAATCTATTTATGTATATAAATATTCTCTATATGCACGTGTATTTTATATAGAGAGAATATATAGAGATTTACATCACAAAATACTTATATTATATAGAATTAAAACATTTATATCAGTTGATTTAATAATGATTTTTTTTTTATAATTTCCAATGCCACCAACTTATATATTATATAATAAAAATTCGAATGTACTACAAGGCTCGCCACTGGGCTTCACCGTCCTTAGCTCGTATATCGTCGCTGCTAAAGCATTACGAGAATCTACCTAGCTAGCTACTTGTAATATATACGAGTTCAAACTGTTGAAAATTCCCAAACGGGGCGTCTTCAGATTTGTCATTTAAAATGTATTACATTTAAATTTACAGTTAAGTTGGTAGCACTTTAGCTATCCTCGGTGCGGTATATTATGATACACCTTCCTAATATATGGATTATTTACCAAGACTCACATTGTTTAATTTAATAATACATTGTAAGGAACTATTATTTATGCCTAATTAGACTTGGTTAAAAAATCATATAAAATAATTTAGAATAAAAAGTTTCGAATTGTTACCTGTCACCCGTATCATACCGCAACGTGCTAAATATAATCTATAATCAGACTTTTTAATATAAAATCGATGCATACTTAACAATATAAAATTATAAAATTGACGTAACGTACATGTAAGGAATGTTTGCATGTAAATAAATTTTACTAAAAATGAACATTTCATTGTGGCATTAAATGACAAAGTATTTGATAACAAGCGGCTAATTTACATTAATTAATTATAATAAGTAATAAATTTAATGGCATTGCAATTTGACATTGCAGACAGCAACGTAAATATACTATAAATCACAGCAAATTACCGTCACGATATCTTTTCAATCATATGTACCGAAACTAGAATTATGCACATACATGACCATAATAATACAAATATTGCCCAGGCAATATTAGAAAATGGACTCTTATATATATTAACGACACCTAAACCTAACAAATTCGCGCAATATCGCCTAGCAAACACCACCAAAAATGTTGGTATCAAATACTGTATACCCGTACCAGCGTATGACCCTGTAAACTCTATAAGCTTACTTATATCCTCCAAGAAATATGTCAACAGTAAAGGGGGAACCACTGTTATAATTGGAAATAGCAGCTTTCTCAGTATAATATTGTACGATTCAATACGAGTGGTGTCTAAGAAGAGGCTTTGTAAATTATTTCTTAGTGTAATAGCAATTATAGGAAAACTAGTGGAAAGTGTAAATACAGGGAAGAGGGCAAGGAAATACTCTATGATCCTCAGAAATATATTATCAGCGTCGGTTGGCACGAAGTTAAGTGTGTACAGATCGTTAAGATGTGGAAACGCGAATGCACCCGTGAAGGCTAGAACGAGATAGAAGACGCTTATAATACCGTAATCTAGAGACAAGTGGAGTCCCAATCGTTTCTTGCCTCTGATGGGACTGATGAGTGCTGGCAGTGAATGATGGCACATGAAAGAGTAGACACACGCGCCAAAGAGTGTCGGCAGGCCGGTGAAGTCGAACGCCGGTGGCTGCGTGTGCGGTTCGGATCCTATTAGCAGATGTATCGCCAATGAAATCATTATGGCAAATGCTGAAAATAAAAAATCACCATCAAAACCCTAGGCTTATATTATTATGCGTATTCATTTCGCACAATTAAAATTGGACACGATTGAATTTCCCAATAAGGAAATATTTTTAACCGTTTCAATACAATTGGATATTAATTCAATTTCTTTATTTATTTACCAACAATTATAAATGTGATATGTTGTTAGGCATTTAGTAATTATGTAGTGCACTTTATTAATATAACAATATATAATTAGTAATTTTATTTTATAATTGTTTATTATATTTTTGTTTTTAAACCTATAATGGTGACATAAGGATAAAATATTGAAACTGAAGGATAATGTAATCACAATTTTATATGAAGATACATTAATTTACGTATTACAATTTATTGTGACACAAATCAGGACCGCAATCATTAGATTTATTTTGTAGAACGTATTGTGTTAAGGATGGTATTAGTTTATATATTTATCCCTACCCTCTATTTGTTTACTTCCATCGAAAATGTAAAAAAAATTCTACATACCCAACCACCTCATGCCCGATGTGAATAACTGCAAGTACTTGGTCTTCTGAACATTACAAAACACGAAGGGGCCCATTATTACAGCAAATACGAGTAACGCTGCTCGATAGCACTGTAGCCGTGTATATGCTCCAACGCCGGCTTCGCTTGCCGTGTTGTTAAAGCATGGCATCTGATCCCAATCTGAATCGGTTGTGTTTGGTGGTAGAGGTGAACTGTAAGATGGAATAGTAAAAGTAAAGACATATCACCAACAACCTCACAACGCCGCAATAGATTAATTACAAGCATTGTCAACTGTGGATATTGTCCGTTATTACATATTTTTTTAAGATGACAGGAACCAAATAATATCCTCTTGGACTAATTTGACTTGTTATTGTTAATTACTGAAAGGTGATCAAAAAATATATATGAAGTTTGACATTAAATAGACATAGACATTTTTTGTGTCGCCTTTCGAACTCCCACAACTTTGAGGTCAACAAATTATGTTAGTGGGAAGGCTGTCTCTAAACTGTATTCTAAAGACATATTTCTCAGTAAAAATGAAGGATTACCACCATTAAACCACTCCAGGAGTTCGCAATTTGAAAATGATGATTTTGAACGATAACAGGCTGACTGCCTACATTATGGTGAGTGGAACCATCTCCTATATAAATGAACCACATCAAATATATAGTTATGATTATGATAAAACATGTTTCTATGTTATCACACTAGCATTACCTATCTGAAGGACTAAGATATCATGTCTACATACCCTGTTCACTTTACACACCCTTTATTTCATCTTTCAAACGAAACACATCTCACAAAGCAAGCTAATACCAGAAAACTAGTGGTTTTACAAATTTTACCATGCTAAATTTAGTATTTTATTCAAAAAGGTACGAACCACACCACATCCATTACAGATTTGGCGACAGCGGCTGAATATATAGAGAGATCACCATACAAATAAATGCACAGTGTACAGTAGAACATCGTCCGTCCCATTTTATTTAGAAACAAGTCTGCCATTTCACCGAGTTCCACTCGCCGGTCCAGACTGTAGTAGCGAGATGGAATAGAGTTCCCGCATACTAAAGGCTCTTCTAGATCACCATAGTTTTGCTGGGATATTATAGCATCTTCATCAGAATCATGATCTTGGATCTGAAATAATAAACAATAAACTTAGTAAGTTATTAACTTAGCAGGTACATTTTTTAAAACAAAGTGAGAGTGCTTAATATTATTGTCACCACAAGTTAGTTATGTGAATACAGCTATGCATAAACCAGCTCTTGCCCAGCACAATGTCTTTTTTTGGAATTCTGTTTCTCAGTAAAGTACCCTGATTGTGCGTTTTTAGTACATTTTTTTTTATATTTTAAATGTTATTAAGTTATTCCCATTTAAATATTATTTTTTATTTTCCCATAGTTTAATTTATTGGTTGTGAATAAACACACATTCATAGCAATGTACACTATCAGATTGATCTCTATACAGTCCTCCCTGAGAACAAATTTCATTACTGCTGAATTTATCACAATGGATTAATCAACCTGACTTCATATTCATCTGGTTCCAAATATTCACTAGCATAAAAAGTTATACACCATTCCATACTTATCCATTAAAAAAAATAGTGTAAGGTTACTTCCCTAAGCACAAATGATATAATTATACTTACACTATCTCTCTTCAAAGCTCGAAGTCTTTTCCATTTGTATACAGCATTGGCACAGGCCATTGTCTCTATAACATATGTAGCATTCATGAAGCTCATAAACGCGAGGAACACAAGTGAGATAGTGCTGAGGCCCCATCCTGCACGAGCAAATGCTGCAGGCAATGTCAGTGCTCCAGTGCCCACAATCAAGTTAAATATATAGATTAAACCAACCTAGAAACAAAAGATTCTGTCAATATGTATTATTATGTATTATTATGTATATTTGTACATTTTTATTTATTTTATATTTTTTTATACAAAAGAGATTGAATAATAAGCTTACTATTTAAGCATAACTTACACAACCCAAATAACTGTAAAACTGTATACCAAAAAATTTTAAAACAAGATTATGATAACATAAACTGAGTATAAATATTTATAGATTACATCATTAATAATGATCAAAAACAGAATGAAATGTTCATGACATCAATAATTTAAAAAAATGTGTCTCTGAAGTAGGGATAATAAGTTTATTACTTACAAAAAAATAATAATTCAAAATCATAAGCAGCTGAAAGTGAATACCTGTATTAAGTTAATTTCAATTTGAAGAATGGCTAATGGTGACTGTTACTGACATACTGGCTGCATAATTTTATAGCTCCTATATTGTATTTTATTAAGAAATATATTTGTATACACAACATTAGTCTAATAAATAATTTTGACGGACACCAACAGTGATCACCTATCTTTCTGCTATTTGATTTTAACACTACAATTTTTTACAAATATAAATACAGACAGACTTTAAATTCTACAAGCCAAGAACCTAACTTAATATCTCTCGAGGAGCTATATAAATAAGAGAATAGCAGACATGAATCTAACATGACAAAGAACCATATGTTTGCAAGCATGTTGCTTTAGTGGCTGATTTTATAAAGGAAATTGAACTTGTAAAATTCACTTACCCACACTGAATATTGATCTGCATTCTCAGAGAGAGGCATTTTTAAGACTTTTTTCAAAGCTCAAAACCTGAAAAATTTTTGTACAGATCGTGTTTGATAAACAACATCGCTGACATGTGATTGAAGTAAATTAGGTGACTATTCGTCTGCTTAATATTTGATGTGACGTGCTCTTCATTTGTAATCCAGACGAGGACGTCTGCAATCAGATGAGTCTAATTAAAAACATAAGTTATTAAAACAAAAACAAAATTTCATATTTATGACAAACAGTACATAAGTCAATTCTTACCATAGACTAATAATAGAGAATAAGAACGTGCCACAAAGTTAATAGAGTGAGAGAGGTAGTGTTGCCAATAAATCTCTGTAATGAGCCATAACTAAGAATAGAATAATGAAAATTCGATATTATTCTTTATACCAATGGTTATATATATATATTGTTTATGTACTATTATACCTACCTATGTCTATATTGTTTATGACTGTTATGTATTTCCAATGTGTCTTGGAATAATTATTTAATCAGAGTAATGTTAAAAATATGCTTTTTCTATAAGATGAATATTGTCTTCTTATTAATCAATCCCCTTGCCATCTTTTTGCCATAGTTATCGCGTGTCTATAAACGTAGTGATTATTTGCTTAATGCTGAATTTACTCTTGAGTATTACTTTTGATAATTTGTGCATGGGGTATTTGTGAATTTTTGAAGTGGTTGTTGAATACTGCGATCACATTTTGGTTTAATCGTTGTTATGACATTCTAAAATAAGATAATGTACACTAGTATTTAATAAAACACTTTAACAAACGCAAAAAATTCACACTGTTAGTTTCGCCGACGTCTGCATAAAATATTACTTTGCATCGATAAAGCAAAAAATACACAGGTCAGCGTATTGCCGGCATGTGACACCGTTTCGGCGTAGGGCATTGACCATCCTTCACGACGAACAGCCATTATAGGTACTTACGCTATTAAATTTTTTACTGCATTATCATGTTCAACACCAGGGATTATTAGTAATGGAATGAGTAATAGTGACCCATTGCGAGCAAACTAGCATGTCAGATTGACCTCCACGCGCTACTCCTTGGTAACCTTGGGCAATTTCTGTTGAATCCTTCAGCATGGGCGAACTGGCATGACTTCATACTATTGTCCTGCACTGGTGCCCTGCCAGGATGTAGATAAAACTGAGGCGAAAACACCATTTAATATTTATCCATTCAAAGTAAAAACGAACTTCTACACCAAGTCGTATTGCGGAGTAAATGACGAGGCGCGGCGTAATGGTGGACGTCTATGTACAATTTTTAAGTTGATAAAGGTATCATGTTTTGTTATTATATTTACGTTTCAGATAGGTCAAAATTTATATTACAGCTCACTTTACAGCGTTCTTTTTATAAACCTCATTAATAGCAATGGGACAAGGCGACGGCGACGCGACGACTTCCACGCAGTCTGCCTTGTAAACCATCGTGCTTGATTCTTTGTCATTTCGCCATGATTATACCATAACATATTTCACTGTATGTCCTTAGCACGGGCAAGTGCATCATTCCATTATACTTCATTAAAATACATTCAATATAATATAACAATAAGTAGGTAAGTATAGTGTTCACTTATTTGTTATTTATGTCTTCTTGTATGTAAGTTGTTATCGACGTAATATCGGCTCGTTAGCCATAGCTCCACGTCTTTACTCCGCGGCGCTTGCGCAGGGAATCCCTTCCCTCTTGCGCACGGCGGTTCGTGTACGCTCGGCTCGAGACGATAGATAATAAACTGCTAGTGTTTCCACATACACTACATCTCTTTCCTTTTTAAGTTTATTTTCTTTTCAAGCATGAATCAATCCACTCTATTAGGTATTTGTTCCTTGGAGGCATGTGTGCTACATTACAACGATGGTGGACTCATTTTGACACTATACTGCCACACATAAGCCGAATGCCTCTAGTGCGATTGGCCTTTCCATTGTAACCAGCACCGTGATTTTTCCTCCTCTTTTGAATATAAATTACATTTATATATTAACTCCAATTTGCTCTGTGTTTCACATACTTCACCTTTCTTCTTTTATATTTGTTTTCATATAATCGTTATTCCACTTTGTTATTGTGTAATATTATGTAAGATTAGTATAAAGCACTTCTGAAAAAATGTTGTATGTTTATGACCAGAATATCTCTATCATAGTAGTCACTACTTTATATTTTGTAGGTTTAAGGTAAATACTTATATTTTTTTTTTCCATTCTATCTGTCTCATGCAATGTGTTATTTACATGTAGTATTTTTTTTTATCATGTACATTTGAAAACTGATTATCTAAAACATAATCTGGAATTTCTTCAAAACTATTTATTATTGTCATTCCATAAAATATTGATGGGTCCTGTGGTGGTATACCAGAATACTATTATTATATCAAGAGTTGCATCAACAATTGCAAACGACTTTCCACTATATTCTGTCTACACATCTGATATCAGTCCATGTAGTATTAATTGGGTATAACTATAACCATTCTTCATCGTACCAAAATTATCTCTCTTATCACCTGCATTAATTCAGTGCTAAAATATTAGGAAAGGTTGTCAGACTTGTCTTTGAGCGATCGACATATACCACATATATCACCACAGCGACTCTACGTACTCCAGCAATCGTCAATTATATTAGTTATAGAAATTATATTTTCGACCAGAATTAATTTGTTTTTTTTTTATTTATTATATTTTACTGAATCCGCTCCATTTCACTCCGATAATTAATATGCATTAAAACTGGCAATTTTTTATTACTTATATTCAACCGCAATTTAATGCAACATTCTATCAATTTACCTTTAATGAATAGGACACCATTCATCAATACACAATACAATGCTTGATTACCCCGCCAAAGACAATTTAACACAAACTGGACGTTAATACGCAATTTAATGCTTAACGACCCAGCCAACGCAATTTAATGCAACCTGTCCGCCAATACGCAATTTAATGCTTGACGGCCCAGTCCAACGCAATTTAATGCAATCTGTCCATCAGTTCGCAATTTAATGCCTGATGGCCCAGCCAACGCAATTTAATGCAATCTGTCCATCAGTTCGCAATTTAATGCCTGATGGCCCAGCCAACGCAATTTAATGCAATCTGTCCATCAGTTCGCAATTTAATGCCTGATGGCCCAGCCAACGCAATTTAATGCAACCTGTCCGTCAATACGCAATTTAATGCTTGACGGCCCAGTCTACCTTACCTCTGTAGCTCCTTTTTTAGAATATCAATGCCATTGTCACCGTCATTATAACTCCATTGAACTTCTTAATTCATCCTCTTTAAGTATTGGTTATTAGTATTATGCTCATTGTTTTTCTTCCTTTGTTAATTTCTTTAAGGTCATCTGAGCCAATAGTCACTTTATAAGCAAATCATGAACTCCTGCAAAACACCAAATTTTATAATTATAGCATAATTAAACGCCACTCTTATCCATTTAATTTTCACAATATATACATTTATGACTACTAATATTAAACATATTTCAGATTTATTTACTCCACAAGAATGTCCAGTAAATAATTCTAATCTAAAGTATAGGAATACTAATAGTATCCTCAGAACTATTTTTTTTTTCCAATAATGTATCGTTAGTAATTGTTACTATCATGCATCATGGTTTACATTATTATCTAGTAATAATAATAATAATTGTGCAGTCATAATATAACGCACGTCATTCACAATAATATACCTCGTATATAAAGACTTCCTTGATTTAAGTAATTCTTTGTAATCCCTTGAATTTTCCATAAGAATCGATGTAAAATATACCTATACCTTTACATTGCGACATTATTATTATTATTTTTTTTTAATTTGGAAAAACACCTCTTTCTAAGGAATTTTCTTAACCCAAAACCTTTATATAATGTTCCCACCAATGGTATGACTCTAGCTCTACTTATCTCTTATCTCATAAAATGTGATTCATGTCAGGACATGTTTCGACGTACTTTTGTTCGTAGAACAATAATTATTGTTCGATGGAAAGTAATGTAAAGTTTTGTAAACACTGCTGCTCGTCACTATTGTTAAAGATTCAAGTGAAATGAAATGGCTTAGACAGGTTTTTTTTTTACCTTTTTATAACGAAGTTTAGACCAACGTACCTTCAACATAGTAAATCTCAGTTCAACGAATTACTTGATATACTATATATATATATTTTCGATTTGTTTTATCGAGGTTGCACTGTAGTACGTATGTAAAAGTTAAAACACGCTAATTTGTCTAAGCTACCCTGCAATGCGGCCAAAGTATTTAGAGAGCGAACAACACCAGTACTATGACGATAAACAAATACATGTATATATTTTACAACTACTACAATGAAGCAGGTATCATTTCCTATTGGCTATCTCAAAACTCAAAACCACATTAATACACTTATTTCGCGTATCGCGACACTACACAACTCCAGCCGCAACTGGATTAACTGTCAATTAAAAATGACTCCCCATCGCTCCAACATCCCCGTCACATTCATATAAAACAGCTGTCAGCACTGTCTGCATGTGATCACTAAACAAATTCTAACTCCATTCCACAGCTACTAAATGCGGTACATTAATGCAATTATGGCTATTATTCCTATTATTTATTCAAGCTTCTTTAAATAAAGAATATTCATATTCTATTCCATGTTCCCGAAACTTCAAAGAATATAAAAAACATTTTTTTTTCCACTCTAATAACCCCTTCACTCATCCGCATAATGCATTAGGCGAGTAGGTACAATAATTCAGAACTTAATAGTAGTTCTATTTCATCTAACCATTATTGTGCAATTTCTAATTTACTGGTATTTTTAAATTAGAGAGAATCTTAAATATGATTCCATAAAGACATACTCACCACCACTGTACTATACTATAGCTTATTATTAAAAGTTAATCACTGTCATTGCTGTAAAAATAATAGAATAATTCTATATACATAATTAGGTATCCTTTTTCTCGTTACAGTGTT